TGATCTGTTATTTCCTCCGCACAGATTTCAATGTGTCGTTGGTGAATGATTTATTAGTTTATTGTGGCATTAATGACAATAAATAATCAAAGTAATTAAAACATATTTTTAGCCATTGTCTACGCAAAAGGACACCTTGTAAATAAAATGACAATCGCTACTAACTTGTGCTGGTTCAGTTCAAAATGGGATTTATTAGAAATACTTCTACGACATTCCAAACAATATAATCACAAGGGGGAAATAATATGCATATGAATATGGAAACATGCATTTCAGACATCTAAAGTATCATAACCTCAAATTTAAGAGTCTTCATCCCAAAAAAGACACAATTTGTACTTGTAAACCTTAAAATCTTACAGAGAAACAGTATTTTATAGAAATATTTGAAGTTTCTAGTGGATATTTTGAAAATTGAAATTGCACTTTGGCACATAACCTAAAAATTACCTTGAGTTATCGAAAAGAATCCTTGAAAGAAACTTATTCGGAACGTTTTAAAAGCAACTCTGGGAAAATTTACTCTTTTAGAGCAAAGAATTGATCAAAAAGTCCATGAAACAATATTTAAGAGGTTATGATTAATTTTAGCGTAATAAACATAGTTTAACAGTGAAAGATTGTAATTTTCATCAGATTTTATTATTTATTGTAACAGTAAATAACAAATTATAATATCTTAGGGGCATAATGAGTGATTTTAAAGGTTATTTAGTGGAAAAGTGTGTCTTAAATTCATAACATAACCTAGAAAGATGAAAAGAACAATTCTTTTCATTCCAGTATTATAATAAGTCCTTTTGAAAGTAACTTTTTAATACACAATATTGGAAATAGTTAAGCACTTCTATTTATCTGTACACCACTTCTAACCATTGATATCTCCCCCTTGAGAAATCATCGCTTTACAATAGAAAGAATCGGGAATATGTGGGTTAATTCACTTTTGTTGGACAAATCTGTGGGAACCGTCATTGAAATGTCATTGGGAATATTCCACGTTTCTGTGAACTGTTCTTATTGTCTGTGACAAGAAAAGAATTCCTAGCATTCTCTTGATAAATACTTGGGATTAGGCAGAATTTCTGCTGATGAATGAGGATGGATCTGAGTTTTTCGGTGTGTCTTCTCCTCGCATTCCACACAATGATCACATGATATGGGCAAATCGTGGACAGAAGGAGAGGAGAATTTCACTGGGGAACCTTTGGAAACAGTTAAAGATGACTTAGGGTGGAGCGAGAGAGGAGATAATCGCGACGAAGAGGAATTTCAAACACAATAAAAGTCTCAAACACCTGGCGATATGCTGAAGGTGAATCTCTGCCAAGTTCACTGTCCATCTCTCCATGCCCAGCTCCAAGTTGGATGCCTTTTCAGATGAGGTCAATAAATGCCTGAACATTCGCTAAATGCTAAACTCTCTGTGGCATCTCTCTTCTCGCAACACCGCACAATCCGCAGCTCGGCGTGCGTTTTGGTGCGCCTCCAACACAACCTGATGGCTTCTTCTCCCGTCTTCGCGCGTCTCTCAAATTCAAAGCCACGCGAGAGACCCAAAGGAGATTACCAGCAACCCAGAAGAGAGTCATGAACCGGTTCTGAAAGTTCGATTTTATTTCTGTTATATCACATACACTCTTTGCAAGTGAATATGTATTAATTTAAAAACAATATTCGCCTCTTGTGCACAAAACCCACACTGTGGCGCAGCGGCAATTTGGGCAGAATTGGGGAGGGAAAAAGAAGGAAGGCGAGGGCCAAGAAAGTGTTGTAAGAGATTCCACGCAAAAGCGCAAATTCTCAAAATTGGCATGAAAACAAGGAAGAAAAGAGATCCAATGTGACCGGAGAGTGTTATTAACCTTTTTATTATTACTCCAGTCCAGACAGTTTCACGAGCATTGATACTTATTTGAGATTTGTGTGCGGTAACAAATTGGTGTGTGTCTTTACATTTCTTTTATGACACACACGCAGCATTTACAGCACAGGGTCATATACTGTGTAATGTGTGTTTTGAAAAAACCAGAAGTTAAATGTTTCATTTTAATTCGGAAGAAAAAGAGACTCAGGTGGAAAAGCCAGTGTTGAGGCATTTGGAGAAACACTCTTTGCGATTTCACTCGTCGCTCAGGCGCACAAAGATTTTGGAGACACATTTCTCAGATTGTACCGCGAACGTTGCGCTGGCCAGTTTTATTGCCGTGTGGATACAACTGCAAATTTATATCTCTGTTTACTTGAGATAACACAGCGATAAAAGGCATAGCGAAATTCGGTGTCACGGAGCAATTGCAGAACGAAAAGGTGAAAGACAGCCAGGAAACTTTGCATATAGCGCTAAATCTCCGTAAGCATTTATTACCATTTCAAATTTGATAAAGAAATGGTCGGGCTCGATGGAGTGTAATCACCAGCTTGTATAACTTATAATTGGAAGTCGGTAAAAGGTGCCCATGTTGTCTTGACTACCGAGGAACTAATTGTAACCTCATTTGTTCTCAAATCCGTGTTAAAATCTTTTTTTCACCTCATAAATCTGCACAATTTAGCGTGTCTTCGGAAAATGTGAGCACTTCGTGCAAATGTACGAAAAGGGCACTTTGAGATTGTGGCAGCAGGAGAAAATCTCTCGAAATGCGCAATTGATTCAATTGATATTTAATTAGCAAAGCACAGTAAACCGAAAGAATTAGACATTTACAGTGATGTGCGAAATGCTTCTAACAAACGCTGCCATATTTCGTACAGAGAAGATGAGAATCTGCAAGTTTTGATACCATTTCCTTGGAATTCTCTTCATTTCATCTAGTAGAAATTCTATTCATTTTATGCAAAGGTTTTCCACAGAAGAATTTATTCATATCACAACATTTTGCACAAAACTGCCCCACTGTGGGGTCATTTCGGAGAACGCATTTGGACTGCAATTCTTAAGTAATTCTTAGAGTAAAATCCAAAAGAAATGATAAAGAAAGCCTTTAAATTACTGAAGGATATTATTTCATGGTCAATGGAGAAGAAACTTAAGGATCTTCATTGGTTTCTGTAACTTAGCACAGACATTTTAGCAAAAATAATTCTTTTCTTCAATTCTTGCAAGTATTATAATTTATAATAGTAATTTAGTATAATAATTTCCGTCTTGATTTTCTGGTTTAGTCATTGTGATGTGTTGAATCCGACTTATAAAATACTTCAAGCTTGAAAATAAGTAAATATGCCAAAATAACTAAGCAAAGAGAATTCTTTTAGATATTTTTAAGGTTATGGTTGACTTTAAAGCTGTTTCCTAACTAATCTGGAGTTTTTTCAAACGCAAAAGCTCAATTATGTCGAGAAAAGAGAAAAATCCACAGTTTAAACACAAATTAGATGATTTTGAGTGTTATTTTATCACCAAAATCTGTTAAAATCAATCACATAACCTAAAAACATTCTATATAGGGGTAAATGGGGCAGCTTCAGATTGGGGCAGTTTCAGATTTCTTAATTTTCTCAGAGATTTTCACATGAATAAATTCCTGGTCTTCACACAATGTTTGTAGTCCTTAAGGACTACAATTGACGAAAATTTGCACAGGATTGCCTTAACTGTTTAGATAAAATAAGTGAAAATTGAAAATCACTCACAAACTAGAATTTTGCTGCCGAATTGATTGCGTGTTTTCTCCATTAAAAAAGCCACAATTCGCGTGAAACACAATCAAAGGTTATTGAGAGTTAAGTAGAGATTCTAAATGTGCCCGAACTTTTCCTCCTTGGCACGGCCTTTTCAGTGGGTGGTGGAAAATGCACAAACACTGCACACGGGGCAGTTTCGGATCGCCACGGACTGACAACAGCGCGCTCTGACAGTCTGACGCAACATCACGGTCGAAATATTCTTGTGGCAAATATTGAAGATTTTTCACAAAGTGCCGTTCTGTGCTGCATTGCTTCATCACGTTAAACGACTTCTTAGTGGAAAAGTGAGAAAATACACGCGAAAATCACTGATTTGCACTGATTTGATTTGTGGTGGCACTGAAGTTGCCACCACTCACGCATGGTGGCGTTGCGATACAGGAAAAATGACGGGCAACTTGCTTTTCGCTCAGATATTTTGACAGTGCGTGCAAGGGTCCAGAAAAGTCGCGAAAATATTACTTTAAAGGCGATTTTTAGGGAATCAAACAGTTTCAGTGTGTAGATTAGAAACCAAAGTGATCATTTGTCCGCGATTCGACAATTCCACAATGGAATTTATGGTAAATATAAGTGAAAATCTGAAACTGCCCCAGAGCAATCCGAAACATCCCCGTGTGGGGCAGTTTCAGATAAATTACAATATTATTTTCATTCTCCTTTAGAGGAAAAAGGATCAGTTTTAATGCCCAATGAAAGGCATTTTCTGAAGCTCAATAGACGAGAGTTTATTTGAGCGTTGTGATCATTTCAATATATTCAGCCGATTTTTCAAGAAAAAATCCTAAAGTTGGAACAGCATTTTGAATCTGAAGCTGCCCCACTTACCCCTATATTGCCACTTCCTAATAGTTTCTACCCCTTGACGAATAATTTGGCTCATTTCTGAAATATCTTCCCAAGTCATTCCATAATATCCTTGATAATATCTATGCTAATGTCCAAATTGACCCTCCTTCTCCCCTAACAGCGTTGTTCTGCTTTATTCATCAGCTACAATTATATGTAGTTTGATACAGAGAAATCTCGTGTGCGCATCTTCTTAGCCATTGTGCGCTCAACTGTACTTATTCCTGCCGAACACCTCTGAACCTAAACAGGAACGAGAATGAGGATTGTAGAACAATACGTGGCATTCTTCTGCTGGAAATTGTGATAAGAAGAATAAACCAGCGCTTCCACAACATCCCAATCCGTCGCCCCACTGTGAGACGCGCGAGACTCGCGAGAGGAGAATTCTCTTGTCCGCGAAGCAAGTGAAGTTTCGTCGGCTTCGGAGCCACTTCGAAGCCACGCTCGCGACAGTGCTGAACGCAATTTCGTGTCGGATGGTTGTCTTAGCTCGTGTCTCCGCAGTGGAGCATTCAGTGGAGTGAATTTCATCAGTGTTGTTTATTCATCTTGATAAATGTTCTAAACAGTGTCACAGCAGCACTTGAGTAGCCAGCTGAAGAGCTCACAATCGCCTCTTGGAATTTATTTATCATCTCACAGTGTGGTGGCTCTTCTCAAATACTCCTCTCCAGCAGCCACTTGTGCGCCAATCCGATTGTTGCGCATTCTTTCAGGGACAAATAACTCCTCAAATATTTACTCACGCCGCGAATTACACCCATAGAACAGATTCTACAACTTTTACGGGCTCATGAGGTGAGTGATAAAAGTGAAAATAGCGATAGACCTTCTTGTCTTCCTTGTTTCTTTTTATCACTACGGATTTTTATTCACTTTTACAGTGAAATTTTCGCACTCTCCACTGCATATAATGCCGCATACAAAGTTTTCCTCGTGAAATCATTAGTGCAGCAGCAAAAAGATCAAATTCCCTGCCTTTGCCTCTCACTCCATTTATTGCCCAAGACTTTTACATTGGAACTTTTCACACATTTCGTGGAAATTTCTTTGGTAAATTGATTAGAAGGCGGAGAGTTGAGTTTATCTCGTGTGTATTTAGAGATTTATTCGTATCTTATCGCCCGTGGCGTCTTATATATCGTGAGGTATTTGTACTTTTTTCTGTGTCTAGAGTTGTCTAGCACAAAGGCGACAGGTTTTCTCGAGACAGAAACACAAACTATATATTCATGATACTTATACTCTTAATCTTAGGGCAAAAAGAGCATTTTATATTGTACTCTTAACACTGCAGAAAGCAATTCAAAAGCCGATTACTATATGTTACTTTTCTTTTGCCACTTCACGTGATATTCTCTAACACTCGCGCGAGAAAATTTCATAGTTGACGAAATCGGAAAGTGAAAAAAGATCAACATTTTTCCCTCAATCCAACATGTGCATCAGATTGCATTTAATTGTATACATCCTTCTCATATTATCGCAAGCTCAAAACACTCAATCGTCAATACAAAACACACAGTATATGAAGTGCAATAAGGTTTGCCTTGTACACAAAACAACAATGTATAATTAGGTTAATAATTTATTTTGTATTACACTCTGTACGGCCATTTATTTCACTCTCTCCCTCCGGAATATATACCTGATTATTCACTTTTCTTCGCTATTTATTGTTATGATCAGCAGAAATGTCTAGTGTGTGTGGCTTTTAGAGGAAATCCCATGATAATGCTTAAGATTTGCATTGGATAGAGTGGGAAAAATTGCTCAAAAAAAAATTCGAGTGGAAAATTATCCGCAATGATAACAAGGCAATGATTATGTGAAATTATAGGGGTAGGTCAGGTCTCTCCATGGCTCTTTGTGCGTCTGACGAAAGATAAGTCTAACTTTACCATTAAAGGAAGTGTCGTTCGACGCACAAAAGAATCGCTTCAACCCTTTCAATCATGATGGAATTTATAAGCAAATATACTTTATCGCTTCCGATTTATTGATCCCATTGATAGCATTTGAAAGAATGCGGGTGTTTTTCATAGATCAGCACATTCTCAAGTCTTCAGTGCCTTTGTCCTTAGACAATTAACAGAAAACTCTTGTCTGTGTTTCTGTCTGTGCATTGCGAAAGGGAATTAACCTCCACCAGAGTTTAATTTAACAGTTGCCAAAGCCGTCTGAAGCAGGCAAATAAGATGAGATTTTCTCCTCTGAATTGGCAAAAAGAAATTGTTATTATATCATCATCTGAAGTATTCTTGTGATTTCTCGCATTGCAAATGCGTTACATACCAAAGTAACGTAATTATCGAAACTTATAATGCGTTATTTCTCCGGTAAATAAATTTTTCTCTTTACATAATAAACCTCATCTCGCTGGCGATTAAGAATATCTCAACATTGAAAGTCGTATGCAAATCAGTGTGATTTGCATTGGGGGAAGTGGATTTCTTGACGAGACACCGAAATGGAGACGAACAATCGCCAGACAATTCAACAATTGCACTATGTACAAAATCTCGCGGTGGAAAGTGACGGATTTTGAGCCATTCTTTTCCGAAACTCACTTCGGAATAGACGTAATATGTGCCAGGTTGAGAGCCGCGTTTTTTTTGTCGTCAGCGAGTCAAATTAAAAATTCATAATAGTGGCAAATTATAAATTTCCGGTTGTTGTGTAACGACGTTTTCGGGTGCTAAAATGTAATCTATGGAAAATGTGATCAAGCCAAATTACATTTTCCTCTCGATTTGTTCGTCTTCGTGCAGTTTGTGGAAATGTGGAATTTTCTCAAGCGTGGCTTAAGTGATTGGATTCACATAGATAGATGACGATATAGAGCTGTTGCGATAGTCCTGGAAATCAGGAGCAGAGCCTGATGGATGATGTGATGACAAAATTGAATTGTGAGATGTTGCATCCGATAAAATTTCATTTAGTGCGGGGAAAATTATAGGAAGAAATTGGAAAATGCTACAAGTGCTGCATCCGGTTGACTTCAGAAGGGGCGCACATAAATTAATTCCACTGCCGGATCGCATAATTGTAATCCATATATGAAAAATGAGGCGCATTTCTGGATTGCGATGGAACTCTCTCTCTCTCTCCATTAGTCGCCATGAGAATTACAATGTGGAATGGAGGGCTTTTGATTATTTTAAAGTGGTCGTCATTAAGTCATTTGAGATTCCCAGGGGATCTCCTGACCCTATATTAGGGCCATCACCAAATTACATAGATTCCTCCCCATTTCTAGCAAACACTTTCTCCCTCCCTCTCTCTGTCGTCGGACAATTGGCCATTTCACACATAGAATTCTTCACAATGTGAATTACATTTCATTTGTTTATCATCGTTACTTAAATATTTACGTTTTCACCAAACGTTCGATGAACCTCAACATCATTTAGTTTATAGATTACTTCGAAATAACGCTCATCGTGTGTCTATATTGGACATTTAAATTGAACAAGGATTGAACGACATCATTCTTACTGCACGGATAGGAGGCAACTTTCATGTTGTAGATTTCCACAATGTGCCTTATATTGCAAGTAAATTGCTTTCTCTTCCACCTTCGCTTCAAGAGCGATTGCATTGGCATTTTTGGTCACAGAATGGAAGCATATCAGAGCCGATGGAAATGGTGAAGCTCATTTGCCTCCCTGACTTGAATTGCATTTGCATATTTAGATTAGTGAAATAAAAGTAGTGACGGTGTACATTTATTTAGAAAGTGATTGATATCATTAATCGAAAGGAGAATTCGATGGAGAATTTAAGCATACACTCCAAGGGGAAGATAATATGCCTGAAATCCGTACAACATCTTCTGAATACTTCTCAGCACTTGAAGTTTTTAGACAGTTTTCACATAAATTCTGCAAAAATTTCACTTACAATCGTATTTTCTGGTATCTTTTCTGAACATAACCTCAAAATATCACTGAGAAATCTTCAAAATACTCCGCTTGGATGCTTTCTAGATCACAAAATCATCTGTTAAGATCTGTCAATGAACCTAAAAATGCTGATTTAAAGTCAATATCGCACAGATAGTTGTCTAAATAACTATTTTCCAAGTCTAAATGATTCTTTTTGAGGTTATGTTCGACCTTAACACAATTTGCAGAGTTTCTTGGCATTAAAGAGTCAGAATATCAATGTTTATTACATGAAAATTCTTAATTCTGCCAATGACTAAGAATCACTGTGACTTTAGCCTAAGAATTGACTTACAAGGATGCGAATTATTCACTAAATTTGTTCTAGATTCGTTACATAACCTATAAAAAGGATTATTATTGTCAAAATGAATCCAAAGAATCAGGACAAATTGGCGGTAAAAGAAACACTCAGGGAAGGAATATTGTAAGGTTTCTGAACCCTTCCACTTCCTAAGACTTCTGCTAAGCTGTACACCACTTCTGGCTGTATTATCTTCCCTTTGTATATCTCTAATAATAATGAAACCAATATTTCATCATATCAAGATCAGAATGTATGAAAAAAATGCTTTATTTAATCATTATACAAATAAGAGATAACATATCGCAAGATAGTAAATTGATAGATAGAAAATATCTATTTCATTAGATCATCATCGGTTTGAAAAGTTGGGTGTATTTACTTTTGAACACAATTTTACAATCAAACTGTTACAATATCGTTACGAGTGTGGAAAAATTCAGTCGTTTTTTTACGAGCTGGAATATATAAGAATTTCGTAAAACATCATCTGGGCTTAATATTAGCAATGCATTAAGTATGAAAATTCACAGTGAATTGGATGAGAAAATGATTTTCTTATCGCATTTTCTTCTCATTAGGCTCTAGCTTAGATGTGATGGGAAAAGTTGTGAAATGTCTCTTGTGCTTTTTTCTCGCATTCTCCATATGAGCCAAGTGAGAGAGTATAATTTATGAGCGACAATTGCGCATCTTGTCTGGATTTACACTCTCTTTGCGCCCCTGCAAAGAAGTGCACATCCTCAGCTGGCGAAGGAATGAATTGCACATTTTAATCCGCCGTTCTATCTTGGCACTTGTTGAATGCCTCCTTTTGTATTGCATAATGAAACGGGGGAATATATGTTGGTCATAATTTTCCATTAGATTGAAATGTAATCCGCGAATTGTGGCGGTGTCGATGTGTTGTTGGCACATCGCGGAATTGAATTGCTCATCTTGACAAGTCCAGCTGATGCGCGCGGAGACCCATAAAAAGGCGGGAAGCGCACAAGTTAATTCTTCATTCTATAATTCCAGCACACAATCGCCCTGCTGTTTGCAAGGTATCTCTGGATGTGATGGAGCCTGATCTGTGTGGCGTGCGTTGTGCTGTGTGAGCATTTATTCTAATGAAGAGCGCGCATTTGCAGGGGAAAAAGAGCTTCTGTTCAATAAACACTGAAGGTTGCACGTGGATTTTCTGTGCAATCGCGCGCCGGCACTGTGTCAACCCAGCGATTGTTGCGTGAATTTATGATTGTATTTAAATTTTCCTCAATGGCTGTAAAATTGAACGAGAAACAATGAGCATGGAAATCATTAGTTTATAAAAAAAACAAATTCGCCATTCGTACGTGATCATAATTGAGGCATAAACATTTATAGTTATTTGGGTGTAATTTTCTTGCTCATTCGAGGCGCTTTTGTGATTTGGATCTTTGAATTTTTGCCCATCAAGCTTTCCTCTCTGCGTAATTTCACACCATAACATTTTCCACAACACACACAAACATCCGTCACTCGGAAATACAGCAAAAGATTTCGAGTGCCTCCACAAAGGCTGGCAATTAGATTTTCCACTCGTGATAATCTATTATTAAGCATAAGTTTTTGCGCATTTGCCAAAAATACCGCACTCCTTCATATTCTTCCTATACACGCAATAAGACGATATTAGAGACGAAATTGACTCATGTGGTGAGACAATAAAGGAAAATTCCGAATAATTTTTATATAACCATCGAGCAGTTTCAGCAAAAACCACCAGATGGGCATTTTTGTAGCATTAAGACATCACAATTTCCGATATCCTCGCTATGGACGGTGTTTTTCAAGTGCGATGACTCTAAAACTGCTTTATCTCCACTTTACAAATCCAATGGAAACTGCCGAAGAAAGGCCAGAAATTGTGCAGACATTATTTTTGTAGTGATGATTAACCCCGAAACAAGGGGGAGATAATATGTCTTAAATCTGTACAATACTTTCAAACACTTCCAGAACACGCAATTAATTATTATCTTTTAACTTTCCATCCGATATTTCCATAAAAATCCACTAAAACCGCTTGTTGGGCGTCATTTTCGACCATAACCTCAAAAATATCACAAAGAAATCTGCAAAAACTCAGATTGAAAGCTTTCTAGATCATAAAATTAGCTCTTATGATTTACTAATTGTCTTAAAATTGCTGATTCAGCGCCAAAATAGTCCTGAATTCTAGCTCACAATCAAATTTTTGAGGTTATGTCCGATCATGGCACGATTTTCAGTGTTTCTTTGCATCAAAGGATAAAAGAAAGCAATGTTCATTGCATGCAAATACCTAATTTTGCTAATGATTGGAGATTTCTTCGACTTAAACATAAGAAGTGTCGTGCTAGAATCTGTTCTTGATTCGTTACATAACCTAGAAAAAGATTCGAAGGAAATCCGAAGAAAAGGGGCAATTTGTCAGCAAAAGAAGTAATCAGGGAGGGAATAATGTGGGTTTTCCAACACTTCTACTTCCTATAATGCTTCCAACTGAACTATACACCACTTCTGACTGTATTATCTCCCCCTTGCCGTCGAAAAGAACAGAGAAAAAATTCTCCGCGGCGAAGGTTTCTTCTCAGCGAAACCTGACCTGCAGCATTTGAATTCACGTGTTGCTCATTGAATTGCTGGCGATGTTCTATAAATAATAGAGAATTCCTTCATAATTTCATCAATATTGACTTGCGTTCGTTCACATATTCCACCTCATTGCATGGGAAATGAAAATAAAATGGCCAAAGATATAAACATTTCAGAAATGTGCGCCGAGTATTAAATCTCCGCGCAAGAAGTGTGCATCGAGATTCAAAGTGATGGTCTTTTTTCGAAATGGCAGATTCTCCGGCACTGTAATTTTCCAATTTGATAGACTTTCCACCATTTGTTTGAAAACATTCACACACACACACGCGCAAGCGTGTAAAAAATGCATAAGATGAAAAGTGAATATGTGGCTTTTGCACATGTTGGCAATCTAACGCTGCTTAAGTTTTCATCCACAAGAAATTTCCATTGCAAAGTCTTCTCTTTTTTTTCCACATCTCATCCAACTTCAATATATACCAACAAAAAACGCATCGCATGTGCAATCTTCCCATGCCAAATGTCTCTTTCCGGTTTTAACAGTTCCTTCAGCAATCGAATTTCATATGCGAGAGTCTTAGAAAGTGAAATTAATTATAATTAAATTGCGACAAAGTGTTTTCAATAAAACCATTGACTTCACCAATCATCTTTCTCTCTTGTACTTTCAGGAGACTGAGCAATTTGCACTGTAGCGAAGGCCTTAAAGAAGCATCACTTGAGATTGGAACGAGGTGAAAAGACGAACAGCGTCTTTGGGAAGATTTATATGTTACACACTTTAGGTGAGTTATTTCTATTTCAACTAATATTCAAAGAAGCTTTCAGGCATCATTTCTACTTAATTCGCATTACCTGAACTTGAGGTATTGCTTAACACTCTCTACTACCAATTGTAATGTGCAAAGACAATGGATAATCACGAGGTTATCAAGAAAAATCTCTAACTTTTCAACAAAAAATATGTTCACAAGAGAAGCCAAATACCATAATTCAAAGTTTTACCAACTATTGTTTCAAATGCACAAAGCTTTGTGCTGAAAATATTATAGCAAATATTTTACGTTATGATTTATGAAACTATACTTCATGATTATCGCCAATTTAACTCTCAATTTCACAACAAAACATGATCATCTTATTGATGTTTGATGATGTGTAATGGCTTTATATTTATGGAGCGATTCCCATTCAAACTGAAGAATGTTAAACATCAAATATGTAAAGGTTTAACATTCGAAATGAATAAGGAAAAACATTTCTTGCTGTTCCCGCTAAAACAGTGTTAAGAATGGAAGAAAAACGATGAAATTTGTCCAAAACTATTGAAATTCAGGAATATAAGTAATAAAAGCGTGATAAAAATAATTTATTGCAAATATCTTTCATGTTCATGCTTGAAAATTGCAGCCACAATCGAAAATTGATCCATCTTTGCAAGATTTTCATGGATATTCTGCAGCTTCTGATCTGTCACTCTGCTTTTGACACATTTATTCAAACAACCTCTGAAACACGGTTTAAATAACACATTCAAGCGATAAAAATGGTTTAATACGTGTGAGCCAGAATAGAAAATAACACAAGTAGTGAATTTTTTAACACATTCGGTGAAGTTTTTAACAGCAGCGGAGAAAATTCTTACACAATCTCCATTTTAAACCTTCCACGTGAGACTCAGAAAAGCAAAGATTATTTTAAACTAATATAACACACTTTTAACATCCCTCGTTTAAGTGGGAATTGCTCCAATATTCAACGTTATTAATCGTAATAATCTTCATTCACATCGTGTAGAAACACGGAAAGGAGCTTTGTCGAACCAAATTGGTGCCAAATTAAAAATAGTTTTCCTCCACTCTTTCAAATTATGCCGATCAAATGGCAAAGCGTGAAAATTTTGCCTTCATTTCCTGCACATCTTGTGTGGCAGACGCTAATTGAATTATTGGACAAAATCCCAGTGCAATTACGGTGACAATGCCGATGAAATCTATGCAGAACGCTCACCTTTACACCTCCAATGCTTTCCGTGTGTGGTTTTGTGGAGAGATTGAAAAGCAAATTATGTATTTATTCGCGGTATTCATAGAACCACATTTACGCAACTATCAATTGGAGCATTTTTTGCTCCTCGCCTTCCCACTGTTGATCGCGTCTTTTTATTTTTGTCACTGACTTTGCGCGCACATTTTTCACACATTTGCAAAACGCTAATTGCATAGTGTTAAAGAAAGCAATTACATAATGAATAAAACAACACGGATGAGCGGATTTCGCGGTGCAACGTGTAAATTAAGTGGAAAAAAAGAGATTACATTCTTACTTGATGGCATTTTCATGGTATAACTTTTCAGTTTAATATCAAACAACCATTACATTTGCCTTTGCTCAATATTATTTACTTTTTCGTCGTTCAGACGGAATGTTAAACAATATGCTTTTGATTCTGTGTCACAGACGCTCAGCTTGGAATAAAAAAACACACTTCAAAATATTTATTATGTACACTTCTTTCTTAAATTTCCTGTATTTTCCACTCTTTCTCTCTGTGAAAATCAACTTCTTCAATGGAAGCGTTTGTTGGCGTTTTCTGGAGTACGCAAAGAATGTTTTACTCTGGACATAAATTAATAAACTTAGCTGAATGCTAAGAAAATTGTTTCTTTTTCTCCAAAATCATTACTCAACTTGTTTACGAGCGCATGAAGCGAAATTCATCATATCTGAGTTTTTTCTGGTAAAGCGCTATTAAATGTCTCTTTGTCCGCAATAATTCACGAAGATATTCTCAATGTGATGAATGATGCTATTAGAAAATGCTTTATAATTCATCATGATGTAATTAGAAAATGATGTGAGACGTTAATTACATCACACTATTCAATATTTTACTATAACTGCGGATTTGATGTGAAAAATGTGCATATCAAAGGAAAGTGAAACTCTTGGGCGCTTCTGTTAAAATACTTCATCATCTTTTTCCAGAGTTGATCTTACAAAGTATTTCAATTTGAATTCATTAGTGGAATGATTGTATTAAAGTAATTCGTCAAAGTATTCTTTCTTTCCTACCCACAAATATTAATTAATTTAGCAATAAAATCAAACTTGTTATTGTAAAATCAAGCATAAATCAAAATATAATTAAATTCCTATTTTAATCCCCATTCGCGGTGAAAAATGTATGCTCAAATTAGCATTTTAAAAGCATCAATTAAAATTTTATATGGTAAAAACTCCACCGCTAACAACAAATTCATGTACATTTCTCCGAAAATATCTTGTTTATGAGATTATGATGATTTAATACACACAAGTTTCGGGGAAAACAACTCATTGATTCTCTTCTCTCAAAAAAGAAGCAAAAGCAAAAGTAAAAACCCTTGAGAAATGAATTTTGTTCACCTGAGAAATTCATATAAGTTTTGAATATTTGAAGAAAATCACTTATTTTTAGACCTAATTGATTCCCCGCTGACATGAAAAAGAGAAGACCCTGAGTTGAGCACTTGCGCAATTTCCAGCAGTGCCTGACCAACTTTTCAATCATATAGAGCGTTTCCACTTGTGAAAAAAGAATTATGAAAAATTGCCCTATTATGGTGTTCACGAGTGTTCTAACTTAATTTTGCCCAATTTCATGCCACTGTGGAAATTATGGAAAAATCTCAGTGTTTGCGCGACACAATAAAGATGTTTGAATCCAGTAATGTTCATAGCATTTGAGACACACACAGCAGATGAAGTTCTTTTCACCGCGATACTCATCTTTGCCGTTGTTCTTCTTTAAATGTCTTTGCAGAGAATCTTCCCAGATATTTGGTGGATAAACAGTATTCGCAGCGAACAGCTTCTTCCACTGAACATATCAGTAGTGAAGGGCAGGAGATTTTCTATGAGAAAATGATGCCGCCACTTCATTCGCCATCCGGAGTCATTACAGACTCCCAGGGTCTCATCGTGCCAAAGAAACTCGTGAATCCGTGCTTAGAATCCACGGATCGGCAGAATTTGCACAGAGAATTGCTCTTCAATCAGAAAATGTGAGTCTTTGCCGTTCAATTAGTGTTATATTTCAACTACATTTACTAGCATTAAACTGAGCACAAGATTTTTGAGCAACAACATTTGAGAACAGTGTTTCAAAGTCGTATTTCTATGACTTGTATACTAATCTAGAGCACGAATTGGCTCACTAGAATGGGCTTTAATGCCTTAAAAGAGCACAAAAACTTCCCTTAATTGAAATCTCTTTCTCTCCTAGCCAGGATCACGCTAGGAAGTCATAAAGTGTGAAAAAGTGTCAGAAGAGAGAGAAAAATATTAGAGAAATGCGATATTTTGGCGGCCCTCACGCCAACTTTGCTGCCCTCTGGCGGCGATATGTGGAGAAAACAATAAAATACTAAAATTTTAATGAAATATCAAGAAAATATTTTAATATGATTTGATGTAATTAAGTATTTGACCCGAAAATATTCAAATTTTTGATTGTTTTGCAATTTTACCTAAAAAATCATAATTTTTCTGATATTTTTCTAATTCAAATTTTGATTCTTTGATTTTTCCCAATCAATAATTGAGCATTTGAATGTGTTCATTAAGATTCCTCAAAAATCGACCTGTGATTTGCCCCTAAAGCAGAATAAAGCTGTTAAAATTTCAGCAACTAAGCGTCAATAACACTACTTTAAAATTATCGATATTTAAATTTTAACCAAGTTTTAACACAATTTTGGGGAGAAAATAATTAAAGTAGACAATTTAAGGATTGATTAATCTATATTGGACCACATCCGTCCTATTTTTCCCCTAAAATTGTATTTAAAAAGAGAAAAGTCCGGCGTTTTGTATCGATAACTGTCGATAAGTTTACCAACGTAGTGTCCTGACTTCCTAAGGAAAGTTTCGGTGCTCTTTTAAGGAATTAAATCCCATACGACTTAGTAAATCTGTAGTAAAGTCTTGTTGTTCGGTTCAATGCTGTTAAAGCGTAACAACTCCTTAAACAATCTCTCGTTCGTGTCTCCAGAGGACGAAGCGTGCTGAACCAGAAGTCGGAGCTGCAGCGAGTGCTGGACAAGCAGAAGGAGCGCCAGTTCGTGGCGGTGCAGCAGCAGCAGAGCAAGCTGCAGGAGACGACGGGATTGGGCGGTGAGCTGGGCCGTGTGATAATGCAGCGAGCTCAGCGGCTGGAGACTCTTCAGAATGCCACCTCCGTGACCGAAGACGAGGACACAGGACGCATTAATCCAGAATATGTGAATGCAAGGGCAAAGTTAAAAGCCACCAGCTTCGATGGGAAGTGAAGGGGAGACGAACAATTTGACTCTGATTGAGACCGGGAAAGATAATCAACTTTCCCACTGGTTGTAATTGCAATTTTTTAAAGATTTTGTATCCATCAAATTACATCTTCATTTCGAGTTAAGTGACAGAATCTCTAATTGTGCGTTTCTTTTGCGATATAAATCTTACTTATTTTAACGTTTAAGTTATAAAAATACTTGTATTGTGTATACAGATGCTTTAAATACTAATTACGATTATGTACCAAGTATATTATTTTTGTAAGTGATCAACGGCGCCATGTGAGTGACTGCGCTTGAAACTATAACATAATTTAGTGTAATTGTGTCCTGAGCATTGAGCAGATGAGGAGTTAAGTTTAGGCAGTGCATCATAACTTCAACAGTGTCCCCCGAAACAAACAGAAAATAATAATGTTACTACCAAAAAAAAATCCTCCTTGCAAAGCGTAATATTCAGAAAAATTCTATAGGAAAAAAGAGTTCTTGCATGGTTATTCCTAGAATAGTACAAAATCCTCAAAAATAAGTCGAGTTATTTGTGCGGAATGGCAACTGGAGAGAGAATGAGAGAAGAATTATAGTATTTGTAGAAATCAATAGAGAGATATTTTTGTATTCACCTGTGCAAGAGAATGGGAAAAAAAAATTGTTAGTAGACAAATAAATGTCAAAGTTCCACTTGCAAATCCAACTGGATTCGCGAGGGAAGAGTATTTTTTCACAATTATATACTACAATTCACTCTTCAAACCCCAAAAAATTGCATGTAACTTTAATGGACTTGAAAAAAGAAATAATGAATGAGGAGCTTGCGAAATCGAAGGACATGTGAATTAGTTTATTGGAATGATGTACACACCATGAGTATTTTGTGTAACAACAGGATATACTAATGTAATTATAAATTGAGAAATCAATGGAAGTTTTTCATTTCCCTGCATTATTTTCATGATTTTCCAATTTCTATCATCTCACGCTGAAAGATTTTAACGCAGGCAGCAGTTACTTTTCGAAACTGCTCGAATCGATATCGATTTCTTCGATATATCATCGATGATGCCATTCGGTGTTGTCATGAACTCATCGACTGAATGACAACGTGACACCATCTTGGAATTGTGAAGAAAATTTTGCAGAGGCTGGGAAAAAGTGTTCTTCTGAGGATTTCTGAAAAGTCTAGTAGATTGTGAAGGCATTAGGATGCACGTGAACAATCCTGAGGCGCTCAAGAGTTGGTTGACTGGTGTACTGGAGCCACTGTGAGTATCCCAAGCGCGACATTTCCATAATTAGTGCGACGGCAATGGCAGCGCGAGAGTGACTGAAAAAGTGGGCAAAGAGTCACGCAGGGCCCACCAAAGCGCGCCGTTGTGCCCACAGCCAGTGCCCTCGGTGGCCAGCCGTGGAGGAAATGGCTCAATTCCTCTCCGGATGCGCTATCGCGTGGCTATAAATAGACCTCTCTCACTCACTTGGGGAGGCCCAGCCTCTCACTCCCAATCGCCCCCTTCTGGCCGACAAACGTTTTCGCCCGCAAGCATGTTAAATGGGTTGTCATTTCAGATGTGATGCTGATCCGTCCGCCCTGGCGCGCTACGTCTTGGCGCTGCTGAAGAAGGACAAGCCCATCCGGGAGCTGACACAGTGCATGTTGGAACAGCTGGACGTGTTCCTCGGTGCTGGTGAGTAGTTTTACCCTCCGGGCGACCTTGGCGCCCTCCCGGAGCGCCAGACGCCCTCCCGTGGCGGCGAGACTGACCAAGGCGGCGGTTCTATTTTCAGAGACGAAGCCATTCTTAGACAAGCTAGTCGCCGTGATCAAATCGGAAGAGTATGTGAAGGCACAAACCCCAGGAGCGACGGCTGCTCCCGCGATCCCGACACCGCAAGCTCTGCCCGCGCCGCCCACAGCCATGGACCCGGGGAAGGCGGTCAAAGGCGCCCGAGAGTGCACCCCACCACTGGATGTAAGTCCGCTTCAAGTGTCTCAAATATAGGTCACTTGTCCATCCGTAATAGTGCAGAATTGTGTGAGGAACTAATTGTTCTCCTTGCTTTCCTTCTCAATATCACAGAATAAGGCCAAAGAGATTGGAGAGATAACGAGCGAGAGTGATATATCTCCAGTACAAATTTCATCTGTATCTGACGGAAATATGTCGACACCATCGGGAGTGAGCGAGCTGAAGTTTGTGCCATCGGCGGAGGTTGTGGCCGCGAAGGAGGCTGTGCCGCCGCCTCTGGCCAACAAAGACTCCCGCCGCCGACGTGCCTCCATGCGATCGCGCTCCAGGTCGCGCTCGCGCTCCTTCGAGCGCAACAGGAAGTCGCGATCGCGCGATCGGCGTCTGGCGGAGAGGGAGAAGGGCGGCCGGCAGTATCGGAAGTCTCCCATGGCGCGCCGCTACGATCGCAGAGAGAGATCCCCGAAGCCGTACGGGCGCCTGCGCAATCGCAGCCACTCGCAGTCGCGGAGTCGGTCGCCGACGCCCAGGAAGATGTCCCGATCGATGTCGCCCAACGCCTCGGCCGACGTGGAGATGCGCGGCGTGAGTGCCGGAGGGAAGCGCCAGCGATGCCGTGACTTCGACGAGAAGGGCTACTGTATGCGCGGCGAGACGTGTCCCTGGGATCACGGCGTGGATCCCGTGGTGCTGGAGGACATCAACAATCCCCTGATCATTGCTCAGTCGACCGGCTCTCACATGCGCGGCGTGAGCAGCGAGTACAATCCCGATGCGCCGGACATGTGGACACGAGGCGGTGGATATATGGGGCCCCGATCGGGCGGTGGGCCCCATCGCGGCGGCCCCGCCGGCGGTGGAACATATCCCCGAATTCCAGGAGCCAACTTCCGCCCGGGCGCCGGCTTTGCATTCCCCCTGAACCCATCGGTGACGACTCCACTGCAGCGAGAGCTGATCTCCGTACCTGTTGTCGACGCCAATGGGCCCGGTGGCGACATATCGGCGCAGGTGAAGCGCCGCTTCGAGCCCGAGGACACCGTGGCCATTGCCGAGGGTCCGGCCAAGAGGAAGCCCATCGGCAGTCGGCTGGGACCGCGCATGGGTGGCGGCATGTCGGGCGGCGGTGGCGGCGGCGGACCGAAGACCAACTGCTCCCTGGAGATCCGGAAAGTGCCAAGGGGTCTGAACTCCATTGCCCACTTGAACAATCACTTCTCGAAGTTCGGCAAGATCGTCAACATCCAGATATCCTACGATGGCGACCCCGAGGCGGCCATCGTGACCTTCTCGGAGCACTTTGAGGCCAACGTGGCGTACAGGAGCACCGAGGCGGTGCTCAACAATCGCTTCATCAAGGTGTTCTGGCACGTGCCGGGCAACAACAGTGGTCCGGATCAGCATGGCAAGGAGGAGCAGCAGCACATGCTGCAAGGTCAGCGCAAGCCATTCCCGCCCAATCAGTATCAGGTTAACAATCTGCCCGCCAATCCGGTGCCCGCCGCGGATCCTAGTCAGAATGCTGTGCCCACGGGCTTGCCCATGGCCTCGACGTCGGCGGGCGTGAACACGGTGACAACGGTGACGGCGCAGACGGCGGGTGTGGTGACGAGTGCGGCGAATGCGGTCGCCACGGCGGCTCAGCTGCGTCTCAAGACGAATCGCCTCACGCGCAACACGGTGGAGTTGATGCGCAAGAAGCAGGAAGAGAAAGTGAAGGCGGCTGTGCAGCTGGCGCATGGTTTGCACAAGAGAAAGCACGAATTGCTGCAAGAGTTGCTGAAGCAGATGCGCCTGGCGTTGGATGTGCTGGACCGCGCGGACAGCAATGATCCGCAGCGGCCGCGCATGATGGAGTCTGTGAAGGATATGCAGGACAAGATTGAGAAGTTGCGCGAGGAGATTGCGGCAGAGCAGGCCAAGATTGCCAGTCAGACGCAAAATGTGCCGCCGGGCAGGAAGTCGAAGGAGCAGCAGCAGAAGGAATTGCTGGATGTGGAGCTGGAGTTGATTACGCAGCAGCAAGAGGGTCAGGATACCACGGCCATTCAGAAGAAGTTGCTTGAGATGCAGAGGACGTATCGTGTGGCGCCGATAAGGACACACTTTCCTGTCAGAGCGCCACGCGTGAGACCCGCTCCGCCTGGATCAACCAGTGTTGATCGACGTCCGACCACATTGTACATCACGGGCTTCCAGGCTGAAGACAGCGATGCTATTCTGGGGCATTTCAAGGTAAAGTCAATTAACATTTCGATTTTGGCTACATTAGAAAGTCGCGTGTTTGAAGCTGAATTCCCAATATGAAACCACACCTCGAGAGATCTCTTGATCAATTTATTTACCATTTGTGTAACCTTCTTTTGCATTATTCCTGCAGCACTTTGGTGAGATCACAAAGAATGAATTGGACGTGAGTATCCCTCTGCTGACAATCTCCTTCGCCACTCGTCTGCATGCCGAACAGGCCATGACGCGCGGTCGTGTGTTCAAGGAAAAGCAACTGCAGGTACGCGTCCTTTCTGTGCCTTACAAGGCTCACAAGATTGCCCAGAGAGAGAGAGAGAGAGTCTCACAATCCTTTGATTTTCCTCTCCTTGCAGGTGAGCTGGTCGCCGAAGAAGGTGGAGTTGGACGTGCAGAAGGTGGACGCAATTGCGGTGAATGCCGATGCCATCGAGACATCTGACTTGGAGACTGTGGAGCTGAGGATTGAGGATGCGGAGTCGGAGGAGGACGCCGAATCGGAGGATCGTTCGTGGCGTCGTTGATGTGTTTTCTGAATTTGCTTGGAGCTTTCAAAAAGATTAATCTTTAAGAATCACATAAGCTGATGAATGGTAATTATGTACATTTTTAACTAGGTTTCTAAGAAATTTTCCTTGAAGAATTTTTTTTTCATAGAGTTGTAATTTAAAAATTTCTCTTGCGTTATATTGTATAACTTCTCAATACTTACGGATTATCATTTTGCTTTACTTTGTGTTTCATTTGCAATTAATTTAAAAAGAAAAACAAAATGAAATTATATATGTCCACTTTGTAAATGAAAATTCATTTGTGATTTTCATACAAAAAATATATTTTTAAGTTTTTTTTTCTCTCTCATTGTTCAAAAGTAATTTTATGAACGCTGTTTTTTCGAAAAAAAAGAAATACTACAGAAAACTGTATGATTTATATTAAACAACAACAACAAAAAAAATTTTTGAATAACATTTTTCTAAGAAAATATGAAAAGAAAAATGAAAAATATCCTATTAAAATATAGTAAAAAAATGAAGAAAGAAGAAAAAAGATGAAATGAAGAAGAAAAAGAAAGACACCGAAGAAATCTAAAATACTTAGTAAAGGAAAAATAAGAGGAATTCAAACGCCGATAAAATAAACAAGTCGTAATAATTGAGATTAAACATATTGTGTTTTCTTGCCCCAGAGAAAAGAAGAAAAACTCTCGTTAAAGAATTGAGAGTTGGAATCACATGTTTGCGTCCGTTACAATTTGATCTTGGCAACAGCAGCGCCGCGTAGCAGAAAATCGCGGAGAATCGCGCAGTTGGTGAAAAGATGTTGGAGAGTGAGAGAGTGTGAGGAATTTTTGCGGAAAGTTTTTCTTCACCAAATCATGGCAGATTCCGAGGTTTGTAAGCCGGTGATGATGCCAAATGCGTGGCATTGTGCTAATCTGCGTGAATATCTGTTGAATTGCAGCTCGCGAAGGCGCTGAAAGATCTCCCCAACCGCGTGATAAATGTTGGCGTGGAGGAAAGAAAGCCCCTGATTGACAACGTAATCACAATCCTTTCCAATCCGGGTGAGTGGAATCCTTGGCTGCGTCGTCCTCTGTGGCTGTGCAGTGTGGCTTATCTGCGGTGAAAGTGGCGATTTTGTGGCTGCTTTTGTGCATATTTCTGCTATTTCACAACATAACCTAATCTCTCTCTCTCTCTCTCCAGGCATAAATACGACTGTGGTGAAGGGAATTTGCCGAGTGATTGGCACAACGCTGACCAAGTATCGTGATCCGCCGTCTCAGGCGCTCATCCGGAGCTTGATTGTCGCCCTGGTGCAGCAGCACAATGACTGGACACTGGAGCACTTCAATGGGGTCTTCAAGACGCTCCTGACGAAGGATCTGGCGGCGGCGCCGGCAATCAAGGCATCGCAAGCCGCCGTAATTGCGCTCACCTGGTCAAATCTCCTCGCAATCCACCGAAATGTCGACTCTGACGTCACCCAGAAGGAGTTCCCGAAGCTCGTGGAGCATCAGTCGCAGCTCTATCAGCTGGCACTGTCCGTGGGCAATCCCAAATTGTCCCAGAAAGCCTACGAGCTGTTCGAGACGTGCTGGCAGCGCGATGATCTCGTGGTGGAGTATTTTGAGCTTCTAGCGAAGATGGAAGCAGCCCCGAATGTCATCCTCCTGATCGCCGCTGCGATTTGCTTCTGCGAGAGCAACCGACCAGAGGAGGATCTCCTGACCAGGCACAAGGCGAAGGTGTTGGAGCACTTTATCAAGGGCTTGATCAGTGTGAAAACCAAGCCAAATGTCCACTACTTCACCCTCTGCCAGACCATTCTGCAGTCCATCACGAAGGAGGAGTTCCAGACACTCATTCTGCCCGCCCTTCAGCGCGCCATGCTGCGCAGTCCGGAGATCATCCTGCAAGGCGTGGGGGCGATTGTGAAGGAAGTGGATGTGGACATGAGTGACTTTGCCATGGACATGGGAAAGACTCTCATTCAAAATCTCTACTCCAAGAACGACGTGACGCGCCAGGAGGCGGCGGATTCCCTCAAGTACCTCTCGGAGAAGTGTGAGAACGCGGAGACGATTGAGAAGCTGCTGAAGCACATTTTCGGCGTGTGGAATGGCTCAGATGGCAAGATAACGGTCGTTGAGTATCGCATAAATGTGCTTCAGGTGAGTCAATTTGCGTTGAATTGTGAAATTCACAAATGAAAATGAAAATGTGTGCATTTTGATTTCAGGGTGTGGGAAATTTGAGCTTCAACAGTCTTCTGCCCGAATCCATGGACGCCATTCTCAGTGTGGTGATGGAGAACTTCATCAGAATTCTCGAGTCAGAGACGCACGAGAAGATTCTCTGTCACTCACTGGAGATGTTCAGTCTCTGGGCGAGTAACTTCGAGGGACAACTGCCCGACAAGATAATTCCACTGTTCCGGAAGGGCATCGAAGGCAAATCGGCCACGCAGAATGTCCGCATCAGCTACATGGATTGGCTTCTGGCGTGCCTTCAGGGTGGCACGCTGACGAATGGCAAGGATTTGGTGCCCTTTCTGCTGAAGACAGTGGAGAAAGCCGCCCAGAATCCCACGCAGATTCCCACAGTCACTGAGGGATTGTGTGCCAGTTGTCTGATTCTGTTGTTGGAGGAGCAGCTGGACGACGAGGCGTTGGCGAAGTTATCAGTATTCTGGAGCATCATACTGGATTTGAACAAGCAAGTGTTTGTGGCTGAGCGATTCATCTCCAGCGTTCCGGGAGACACACTCAAGCACGTGATGCTGCTGATTGAGAGACTCCTTCTCTGCCACTTTGATCGCCTCAAGGGCAATCCGGAGGTGTTGTACAAGGCCGCTGTGTACTGCATGACTGTCTCATCGCCAAACGTGAGGATCTACTGTCAATCGCTCACCAGGAAGATTGCCACCAGTGAGAATGGAGTGATCTTCACGATTGAGTTCCTGGCCAAGCTGACGAATTACATGGAAAATGCGAAAATTCACCAGGAATCTGACGCTGGAGAGGATGGAAGTGTTCCAGTGACAGCTTTTATTGACACCATTGAGACTCTGTGCACAATTGAAGGTAATTTCCCTCACAAATTTCACCTCAAATCACTCCTTGAAGCTAAATCTCTGATTTTTTGGCAGATTTGCAGCCAATTGACGCTGAGAAAATAGCTCTGAATTCCCTTCTTTGCTGCCACCATTCGGCTCTGATCAGCGCTAAGAGCAATCTGTGGGAATCCATCCTCAAGGCAATTGGTGTTGACCCGAAAACCCTTATAAATCTTCACAGTGGAAAGATCTTCGAGATTCTCCTCACGAATTACTGCATAACGTCGATGTACGAGAACTCTGTGTCCACCGTCAGTCGCGTTAATCCTGACATTCTCTTGCCACACGTCATGGAGCTCGTTTCGTCGCAGCTGGGCAGCGAGGCCATGTCCAATGTGACGGATGATGAGTACTTTACATTCCTCACGCCCGAAGGGGAGTTGTACGACAAGAGCGTGATCCCGAATGCGGACGACATCTACCAAGTGTCGGGCATGAAGCGGGAGAACAAAGTGTACAGCTACAAGGAGCAGATGGAGGAGCTGCAGCTGAGGCGGGAGATTGAGGAGAAGAGGCGGAAGGAGGGTAAGGCGAAGCCTGTTCAGTTGACGCCGAAGCAGAAGGAGGCCATAAAGAATCAAACTGATAAGGAGAATGCAATCAGAGCTCGATTGGCGGATGTCAATGAGAAATTGCTGAAGTTGATATCGATGATTGAGAGTGTTTCTCGCGGAAATCCCGAGCAATTGGCAACACACTTCAGCTGTCTGCTGCCGATTGTCTTGGCACAGCTGAAGAATCCTCTGGCGGCTCCGCTCCTCATCAAGCTGTACAATAGCCTGCGGATGTCATGCTTTCAGGATTCACAGCAAAACTTGCGGGACACTTTGGCAATAACGACAATTCGTCTCTACGAGCCTCACTGTGATCTGCCGGCGGAGTGGCTGACTGAGCCGGTGACGGACAGTGTGACGAATGTCTTGATGGATCTCTTTGCGTTCACCGCCGACAGGGTGTCGAATGAGACTGCAAATGGAGAGGCCGAAGAGGAGGATGTGGAAAAGGGAATACTGACTGGCCCAGCGTTTTGCTATGCCTTTGAGTTCCTCAAGAAGTGCATGAACATGACGCCAGTGTCCAAGGATGAGAATCTATTGCTGTGCGGCATTCAAATCATTAGTCATCACGCGCAGACACGTGGAATGACGGATCGCGGTGCTTCCACGGATTATCGTCATCCCAAATACTTGCCGCGACTGGAAATGCTGCGACTCTTGCTCGGCATAATCAGCAGCAATCGCGGACGCGTGCAGACTCAAGCTGTGGCGGCTCTGCTGGATGTCGCCGAAGCCACAAGTGGTCGCGAGTACTGTGCACTGCCGACGAAGGCTGAATTGGAGCTTCTTTTGCAAGCGATCGAGAGTAATTTGGAGTCAATTCGAGATGTTGCATTGCGAGCACTTCTGATTCTCGTGAAAACCTTTCCATCTTTCAAAAATGATTCCGATCTTCATCGTCATCTCATCTGCAGATTGTGGATAGCGAAGCATGATATTAGTGATGATAATCGCGAGTTGGCGGAGAATTTGTGGACAGACTCGAGCTTTATTCTGCCGAATGACATGACAATGAATCTCATGAGTGATGTCATTCATCCAGAATCGTGCATTCAAAAGGCAACTGCGAGTTGTTTGGTCTCAATCCTCATGGAGGACAGTTCACCACTGCAGAAGATTCTCGATCAACTTCTCAGCATCTATAATGACAAATTGGCCATGATTCCGCCAAAACTCGATCAATTTGATCGTGAAATTGAACCGGCAATTGATCAATGGCGACCACGTCGAGGCGTTGCATTTGCATTGACAGAAATATCACAGTTCTTCGATGAGAAGCAAGTGTTTTCCACCATTCAATTCATGGTGTCGAAAGGATTGGGCGATCGCGATGAAATGGTGCACAAGGAGATGTTGGCCGCGAGTTTGGCCATTGTTGATAAGCATGGAAAGGACACAATTGCTCGGCTTTTGCCGGTGTTTGAGGAGTTTCTGGACAAAGCGCCCAATTCTAGTCGCTACGACAACATTCGTCAAGCTGTCGTGATTCTGATGGGATCTCTGGCTCGTCACTTGGAAGTCAACGATGAACGCATTCAGCCGATTGTGAAGCGGCTTCTGGCGGCTCTCGCCACACCATCAGAGACTGTCCAGGAGGCTGTGGCCAGTTGTCTGCCATACTTGATTCCGTCGGTGAAGGATGAGGCGCAGCAGATGATCAAGAAGCTCCTGCATCAGCTGATAAAGTCCGACAAGTATGGCGAAAGGAGAGGAGCAGCTTATGGCATTGCGGGCATTGTGAAGGGATTGGGCATCATATCGCTGAAGCAATTGGACATTATGACCAAATTGACAAACTACATTCAGGACAAGAAGAACTACAAGTCGCGCGAAGGTGCTCTGTTTGCCTTTGAGATGCTGTGCAAGACTCTGGGGCGACTCTTTGAGCCCTACATCGTTCACGTGCTCCCATTCCTGCTCCAGTGCTTCGGCGACTCGTCCCAGTATGTTCGTCAGTCTGCTGATGACACTGCCAAGGTTGTGATGGGAAAATTGTCAGCGTACGGTGTTAAACTCGTCCTTCCCGCCCTCCTTAATGCTCTCGATGAGGATTCGTGGCGCACAAAGACGGCTTCGGTGGAATTGTTGGGCGCCATGGCATATTGTGCCCCAAAGCAGCTCTCATCGTGTCTCCCAAGCATTGTGCCGAAGCTAATTGAAGTGTTGAGTGATTCCCATTCGAAGGTGCAAGAAGCCGGCGCAGATGCTCTTCGTGTGATTGGATCAGTTATCAAGAATCCGGAGATTCAGGCAATTGTCCCCGTTCTTCTGCGCGCACTTGAAGATCCGGCCAATAAGACTTCTGCATGTCTTCAGAGTCTGTTGGAAACGAAGTTCGTCCACTTCATCGATGCTCCGTCACTGGCTCTCATTATGCCTGTTGTCCAGCGAGCGTTTATCATGAGATCTCCGGAGACGAGGAAGATGGCAGCGAAGATTATTGGAAACATGTACTCACTGACAGACCAGAAGGATCTCACGCCGTATCTGCCCAACATTATTCCGGGCTTGAAGATGTCTCTGCTGGATCCTGTGCCAGAAGTCCGAGCAGTTTCGGCTCGTGCTCTGGGCGCAATGGTGCGAGGAATGGGTGAATCATCCTTTGAGGATCTACTTCCGTGGCTCATGCAAACACTCACGTCCGAGAGCAGCAGCGTGGATCGATCGGGAGCCGCTCAAGGTCTCTCGGAGGTCGTTGGTGGGCTGGGAGTTGAGAAATTGCACAAACTCATGCCTGAGATTATAAGCACAGCCGAACGCAATGATATTGCGCCTCACGTCAAGGATGGCTACATCATGATGTTCATCTACATGCCCGCCGCCTTCCCCAATGAGTTCACGCCGTACATTGGACAGATCATCAATCCGATCCTCAAGGCTTTGGCCGATGAGAATGAGTATGTGCGAGAGACAGCGCTGAAGGCTGGCCAGAGGATTGTCAACATGTACGCGGAGTCTGCAATAGCGCTCCTGCTGCCGGAACTGGAGAAGGGTCTGTTCGATGACAACTGGCGCATTCGCTTCAGTTCAGTTCAACTCCTGGGCGACTTGCTGTATCGCATTTCCGGTGTATCTGGCAAAATGACCACGGAGACTGCCAGTGAGGACGATAACTTCGGCACAGAGCAGTCTCACACTGCCATCATCCGATCTCTGGGCGCTGAGAGGCGTAATCGTGTGCTGGCAGGATTGTACATGGGACGCAGCGATGTGTCTCTGATGGTGAGACAAGCTGCCCTGCACGTGTGGAAGGTGGTCGTGACCAACACGCCGCGCACACTCCGTGAGATCCTGCCGACGCTGTTTGGCCTCCTGCTGGGATGTCTGGCGAGTACGAGTTTTGATAAGCGTCAAGTGGCCGCCAGGACTCTTGGGGATCTCGTGCGGAAGCTTGGCGAACGCGTCCTTCCGGAGATCATTCCGATTTTGGAGCGTGGATTGAATTCTGAGCAAGCTGATCAGCGTCAGGGTGTGTGCATTGGTCTGTCTGAGATTATGGCTTCCACGTCCAAGGACATGGTGCTCACGTTCGTGAACAGTCTCGTGCCGACGGTGAGACGCGCTCTCAGCGATCCTGTCGTGGAAGTTCGAATGTCAGCAGCCAAAACATTCGATTCGCTGCACACAACAGTGGGAAATCGTGCTCTCGACGACATCCTGCCATCAATGCTGAACGGACTGAGTGATCCGGATCCTGTGGTCGTGGAGTGCACTCTGGATGGCCTGCGACAGGTGATGGCGATAAAATCTCGCGTGGTGCTGCCGTATTTGGTGCCACAGCTCACGGCAACTCCGGTCAACACGAAGGCTCTGTCGATTCTGGCCTCGGTTGCGGGCGAAGCGCTTACCAAGTTTTTGCCAAAAATACTGCCAGCACTCCTCACGGCCCTGTCTTCGGCCCAGGGCCAGTCGCACGAGACACAGGAGCTGGAGTACTGTCAGGCCGTAATTCTCTCCGTGAGCGACGAAGTCGGCGTGCGAACTGTCATGGACACTCTCATGCTGTCCACCAAGTCCAATCAGGCGGACGTGAGGAGAGCAGCTGCCACGCTCCTGTGCGCGTTCTGTACCCACTCCCCGGGAGACTACAGTCAGTATGTGCCGCAGTTGCTGCGAGGTCTGATGCAGCTTCTGGCCGACACGGACAGGGATGTGCTGCAGAGATCCTGGGAGGCTCTCAATGCTGTCACGAAGACACTGGATTCGGCCCAGCAGATAGCTCATGTGTCGGACGTGAGACAGGCTGTTCGCTTTGCTGCGAGTGATCTCAAAGGGGAGGAGTTACCAGGATTCTGTCTCCCGAAGGGCATCACGCCCCTTCTGCCCGTGTTCCGCGAGGCCATTCTCAATGGGTTGCCCGAGGAGAAGGAGAACGCCGCTCAGGGACTTGGTGAGGTGATCTCACTGACATCGGCGACGTCCCTGCAGCCATCGGTGGTGCACATCACGGGTCCTCTGATTCGTATCTTAGGTGATCGCTTCAATGCTGGCGTGAAGGCGTCCGTGCTGGAAACACTGGCCATTCTGCTGAGGAAAGTGGGTGTAATGCTGAAGCAATTCCTGCCGCAATTGCAAACGACGTTCCTCAAGGCTCTACACGATCCCAATCGAATGGTGCGCATCAAGGCTGGCCAAGCGCTGGCGCAACTTGTCATGATTCACACCAGAGCCGATCCTCTGTTCACGGAGATGCACACTGGCATCAAGGGCAACGACGACTCCGCCGTGAGGGAGACCATGTTGCAGGCTTTGCGCGGAATCACCTCGCCGGCGGGCGATAAGATGACCGAGCCACTGAGGAAGCAGGTTTACGGAACGCTGGTGTCGATGCTGAACTTCCCCGAGGATGTGTCGCGCAGTGCTGTGGGTGGCTGTCTGGGCGCCCTGTGCAAGTGGCTGTCGCCAGAGCAACTGGATGATGCTCTCGTGGGTCATGTGCTGAACGAGGATCACTCTGAGGATTGGGTGCTGAGGCATGGACGCACCTCGGCGCTGTTTGTGGTGCTGAAGGAGGCACCGGATGTGGTGTATGTGCCAAAGTATGAAGCTAAGATATGCAAGGTGATTGTGAATTGCATCACGTCGGACAAGACACCAGTGGCGTGCAATGCCGTGCGATCGGCCGGATATTTGCTGCAGCACTGCATGAACGCGGGAAAGAGTCTGCCGCCAGCGCTCATGGGACCATTCGTGCGCGCCATGAACCACAACAGCAACGAGGTGAAGCAACTGCTGGCCAACACGTGCAACTACCTGGCCAAGGTGGTGCCCGCTGAGAACACGCCGCCGGAATTCCTGCGTCCAGTCATCCCAATGCTGGTGAATGGCACCAAGGAGAAGAATGGCTATGTGAAGTCCAACTCGGAGATCGCACTGATCGCCATGCTGCGCCTGAGGACGGGTGAGGAGACGCATCAGAAGTGCATGTCACTGCTGGAGGTGGGCGCCAGGGAGTCCCTGAGTGAGGTGGTGACCAAAGTGCTGCGCAAGGTGGCCCTGCAGCCAGTTGGTAAAGAAGAAGATTTGGACGACACAATTCTATCTTGATCACAGTTCCATCATGTGTGGATTTTCCCCCGTAACTGTAGTCATACGCTATCTATTCAACCGTCAATCCGTAAGTCGATGTGTTTAATTTCAATAAAAATTTATTACTTTAAATACTGGAGGTATTTTTTTGTTGTCCTCAAACACCGCATATTCACAAAGGTCAGTAAAAATTCTGTATAAATCTACCTATTAATCGCTGTTGTCAATGCACAGCACTGAGAATGATCTAGCTGGCCTGTGGCGGTTTCCTCCAGCCGCCGAAGGCACTCTCCAGCTCCCTGGCCACGGCGAGACAGAGATGATCCTGCTGCGGACTGGCCACAATCTGCACGCCGATCGGGAGGTTGTCCTTGTCCATGCCCACCATCACGTTGGTCACTGGCAGGCCGAGAGTGTTGAAGACCATCATGTAGCTGGTGTCGAGGAGCTTGTGGAAGATGCGATAGTGCTGATGGGCACTGGTTGGGAAGGAGGGATAGATGAAGACTCCATTTGTGCCCAACAAGTGCACCAGTTGACTCTTCAGCTCCTTGGCGATGCCCTCAAACTGATCGTGACGCCGCTGTGGCAGACTCTGGATGAACTTCTGCAGCAGTCCAATAAGAACTGAACTGAAGATGTGATTAGAGCAGCCAAAGAGGTACTTGAGCCACTCCGTGGACAGCTTCTTGTTCTTCTCATCCTCCCAGGAGTGATTGTATATTGTCTCGATGTCCTTAATGCGCAGCAATTGGGACACGGAGATGTCGAATGACCACTTGAAGAGATCAATGTCAACCTTTTGGGCATTGAAGTGTCGAGCCACCTGAAGAATTGCTCTTTGCATGTCGGATGTGAGTGGACGCGTGAGTCCAGAGGGTCCGTCGTTGTCCATGTAGAAGTAGTTAATGGTCTTGACATCGACACTCTGGTCCACATCCACTGCCGGTCCCTCGGGATCTCTCATGCACTTGAGGAGCAGCGGAAGATCCACTGCATATCTGGTCATTGGGGCAACCGTGAAGTACTCTCCCCAGCGAGGATCTCCACTCGTGGGCACATGGCCGTATGGTGAGACGACGAAAGGTGTGGGTTTGTGCCCGAAAACCCCCGTGTACATCGCGGGCAGACGCGCTGAGCCCCCAATATCTGAGGTCAGACTGAGCAAGGTTGCACCAGCGCCGAGAAGACTCGCTTCGCCGCCACTGGAACCGCCCGGAGTGCGTCTCAAGTCGTGGGGATTGTTCGTCTGACCCGTGATGTTGTTGAATGTCTCCCACATCATGCACAGCTCGGGTGTATTGCTGACCAGGAGGAAGATGGCACCGCTCTTTCGCACCTGAGCCACACTGGGTGCATCCTCCTTGGCTCTGCGGTGCTTCTCGAAGCGGAGACCCGCTTGATTGGACATCCCACGGAGGCCGATGCTCTCCTTGACCGACACTGGAACGCCCAGCAGTGGCGTGTCTCTCTCAATGTCCTCCACGGCTTTGGTGGTGCTGGCCAGGAATTCATCCACAGCCTTCGCCTCCTGCAGAGCAGATTCAAAGCGCTCCTCCACAATTGCATTGAGCAGCGGATTGACTTGCTTGCATCGATCGACATATGCCTTCACCACGTGCTCACTCTTAATCTGGGAACAGAGCGGGTAATTCCATGTGAGAAATCCATTGTGGAGAAGAAGATAAATTATGCAAGATAATCAACTCACCTGCCGCGTGCGGATCATTTGCGCCAGGTCAACTGCAGGTATTTCTAATAGGCTATTCGACATCGGTGGAAGTTTCTGCCGCTTAGTGCCGAACGTCTTGATCCAACTGTACGGAATGACGAACCAGCTGATGACAATCATTGCCCCTCGCAGCAATCTGCGGATGATCCAACTCATGGTTCTATGCGGAAAAAGTGAAGCAAAGTCATAATCAAAATACCGTATTTGGGAATTGTGTGTTAAGTGATTGTCAGGAAGACGCGCTGCATGAGAAATTAGCGTGATTTCTCGCGAGCGAAGCAACAAACGTCGCCGAAGAGACCGCATAATATGCAATAAACATAAGAAAAAAGTCACAGGCGAAGAGGACAGACGAAATTTCGTGAGTACCATTTACAGATATATATTTTGAGACTTCTTTTTTTTTGTCTCGCGCGACACTTGAAACTGCGCATGGAGAAAATTTCTACACACTTTTCTTCGTCTCTCCGACACGACATGATTTTGGATATTTGAAATCGTCCGCCTCTCTTTAACAGTTTCACTGGACAAAAATACATCCCACACAGAGAGAGAAAATAAATTACAATTTTATTGTAATTTTATTGTAATTTATAAGCAGTTTAAATTGATAAACCACCGCGGAAAGCACACAACTTCAGTGTAATAATTATACCTCAAAGTCTCGCGAACAGCTTGAAGAAAGACTATTGTTTGCTAAGCAGACATGTACTTTGATTGAATAGTAACTTAACACTGATTTCATTGTTGGAACCAAATACTCTCGATCAGTGGCGATTTCCACTCCATATCAATGTAATATTTATGAATGTGTGCGATCAGTATATAAGCGCCACAACCGGTATTTTATAATACTGGCATAATAAAACCATAGTTTTCAGAGGAGAATCATTCATGCACTATCAACATGTTTAGCGTTTTTATCTTTTCCAACAGTCCAAAAGGCATTTTTGGACTCAAAATACAATTTCTCAAGACAAGTTTTGCTGAATCTCCTCACAACCTTCACAGTTCACCACTCAAAAAAAGGTGGGCAAAAAGAGAGGCTCAAAAAGCTGAGAAAAGTGAAGTGAATTTTGTCCATGGACTTGATCATGAGGATCTCTATTACTCTCGAATTATGTTTTGGGTGTATTATATTTTTCTGGCTCAATGGCAATTCGCGATTGATTGCGATTTCGAGAGCAACAGACAAAAAAGATGCAAATGTGAGTCAAGGTACTCTTGAGCGCCAAACAAATCGATCTTCCAAATGCCACAAAGAATGAGTTGAAAAGTGTCTTGAGATTCATGATTATTTCGCACATGTGCGCTTCAGATCATAACATGATTTTCCACGCTGACATCGCGAAAGATGATGTTTTACAGCACTGTGAATTTCACACTCAAAGAAGCTTCAAATATTGCATGCGAAAATTTTTACTTCATATAAATTGCCATCATAATTCGCTTAAACTTTATTCTTTTATTATCCTCAGTGGCGGCTTTATATAATATCAAAAAATAGCATGGAATTTCGCATGGATCAATGATGTTTTTTTCCCTCTTTTTGCGGCTTTACAAAATGTAATAAATTTGAACATGCAAACAAAATATGCCAGCAAATTCTCTCATCATGTGTGAATGTTATTATGTTAATCGCGTTGTCTGACAAATTAAAACGTAAACATTAATTTGAATTTGTACGCAAGATTTTCAGGAAATACAATTGAGATGAAAATTGCAAAACATGTGAGTATTTTCTTATCTTTGGTATTTATGATCTCACAGAAAGAGTTTCTTGAAATACAATTTCTATAAACAAACAATAAATAATCATTTAATCGTTAGTTTTCATTGGAATCTTGTGATCTTCTCTTGAGTGATATTTTGTGAATTGAAAATTATATTAAGGAAAGTCAAAATTGTTATTTTTCACTAGAGAGAGTTGAAAATTTAGCTCAAATTTAGTTCATTAAAGTAATATTGCTCTGTAATTATTATTTGCTGAATTTTTACGGTTGATTTTAATGATATTTACTTGAATTATTAACTGAAATATAGCAAAATTAATTGAAAAACTGAAAATATTACTTTCAAAAATCGATTTTTAATAGTCTTCCAGTACTTTTTATCCCTAAACAAATTTAAAAAAATTGATTTTTCTTGCTTTACATGATCTTTTCTACAAAGTTCGCAGGTGAAAAAATTAAAAAATACGACAAATAATATATTAATTCAAAGTCTAAGAATATTTGAAGGAAATAATGCACAGAATAAACAATAAATAATCGGCTTTTCATAGTTTCCAATGCAAAATTTGACATTTTTTTACATTCGAATTATTTAGATAAATAAAATATCTTACTATTGTTCTATAAAATACAAATCTCAATATTTTTTTTTAGTTCTATAACAGACTTGATGACAGACAAAAAGCTTTTCAAAAATAAATAAAGTTTTAACTATGAAAAATCGATTTTTCCTTAGTTTTCGATTCATTCGTTGATCTACAGAAGTTGAATTAGAAAATTGATTTGATTTCCAAATATATATTTATTTATTATGTCATTGTTTTCTACATATAAAAATCCTAACACTCAATTATGATTGATTTCCATCTTACACTTCAAATCTGTCTTAAGTAGTTCAAGATCAGCAAATTTGCAAAGCTTTCAAATTCCCTTTTAGCCGCACTCGCGAAAGGCACAAAAACACAGAAACATTGCTGACTTCCACGGATGGAAATGTAAATGGAGTTCAATGAATCGTGGGTCAGCTGAAAAATTGCATAATTATCTTTATACATAACTCGTGCAAGTTGCCGAATGAGAGCGAAGTCTGAAGTTCAGTATGTATTTATTCGAGTTCAACCCCACTTGATTATTTATGATATTGCATTAATGAGAGTGATAATGTGGTTTGATCGGAAGCCCCATAATAGACGTCATATTATTATGCGTGTTTTTTTGTTCTTCTATAAGAGTGTCTGCGAAGATAAACAATATTTGATCGCTTGTTTACGTGACCATTGACCTCACGCCTCAATTTCCATATGATATTCTCTGCTCTGCGGACAAATCGATCGACGTCCTTCGATTTGTATATAATTCTGTAATCTAGAATTGCTCCAAAGGAGGGAAAATTCAACTTACTCATCCACATTGCGAAGGACAAATTTGGCGAAAGTGGACAAAATTGATGCTAATATATCCATCTTGTTGCCGCTGAGGTGCAATATAAATTTCCAATGGCACGTTTATAGAGTCTCTCGAGTCTTTCACTTTTTTATTCTCGCAGAAAGAAATGTTTTCTCGTTAAAAAATTTCACTTTTACTGCTCTGTGTTCACCCAAAATCCAGCGAAAAAAGACACTGCGAGCTGCTCGTACGTCTCGTGGCGCAAATTGCTACTCGAAGACTGAATCTTATGCTGCTGAGCGAACATGCGACCACCTTCATTGGTATTCATCATTAGGAGGGAATAATTGTTTTGTAAATAGAGCCGCAGTGTGCAAACATCATATTTTTACACTATCACTCCATAGATTGTGTTCGGATGAATGAGATTTTCTCCTCACTACTCATCGCAGCCGCAAATATTTGGGGGCTGTCGAAGGAAATTTTACGTCGTGCGATAAGATAAGCCGGTATTATTAATATTCACAACAATATGGACTTTGACGCGGGCGAGATTGGCAAATTTACTGCATTCGTATTAATACTGTGCACAAAGAAAAGACCAAGAATTTGAGCGGAAATGCAGAGAATCACGCAATTTGATACAATCTTAATGAAGTAACATTTTGTTACTATGATATCTTGATTGTGTGCAGCAAAGTTAACGATTTATGTTTACACACAAGATTGCTGTTCATTGGAAAAGAAAATTTCTCCTCTTCAAAATCAATGTTGTAACACACAATCGTCATCTTTGGGCAAAGTGTGTAAAATGCGATGAAAATTGTAGCATATTTTCCCATCCAAATTTCTTACAGTGTATACCAAGGGGCAGATATTATGGTCGGAAGTGATGTACAGCTTTGTGGAAGTGATAAAATATTGGGTATATTTGCACTGCAAAATCTTCAGTTTCAACAAATTGAGACATTTTCTATATAATTTTACAGGGATAAACAAATTTTTGTTGCTTTTCTAGGTTATGTGATTGATTTAAAACAAATTTTGTCGATTTAATAACCCTCAAAATCATCAAATTTGTGCTTAAGCTGAGATTATTTCTCAGAAAATACACAGAATTGAGTTTTTTGATCTGAGAAAAAGCTTTAAAGTCAATCATAACCTCAAAAAATCCAATTTGAGTCTAGAAAAATTTTTCTTCGGTTATTTTCGCGGTTTTTGCTTTAACGCGATAAATTAAATGTCATTATCTACTCATTTCCAGGATTGAAAAGATATAAATTAGTCTAAAAAGGATTTTTAGGCCCAATTTCTAACCTAACAATTTGGTCAGAATATTTCAAAGCATTTTCTGAAGGCAAAACTTAGGTTAGATTGTGATAAAATTTAGAATTGTGTGTGAGAAGTAGTTGAATGAGTCTAAAAAGCGATGAAAAATGCATTTAAACACGTTCAGAAGTGTCTGGAAGTGTTGAAGATTCTGCAGAGGAAATGGTGTACCAGATTTGAGGCATATTATCTCCCCCTTGGTGTATGCAAAGCAACGTGATAAAAACGCCTGCGTCGGTTTTCATTTCAAAATCTCTGCATTTTATCGCATTTGCTTGATGAAATGCACAAAAAAATAACTTTTTCACGCCTATGCGAGAGCGAGAGAGAGAGAGTTCTGTTGTAGAAAACGCGAGAAGTTGAAACACTTACACAATATGTATTCTGTTAAATTGAATTAAGAAACTCAAGTTCAATATTTGCATATTGTTTGCAAACAGTGTCGATGTCCACGAGAGTCTCTCCTTTGCATTTATCACTGAATCAACTAAATATATGAACAATAGGCATATTAACTACTCCCTGTGCAAATATCACTCTTGTGTGACTTTTCAAATTACACTCTTCGCAGTCATTTGCTAAAATCAATCTATTCTCATTTGGCATACAATTGTGATAAAATGCCTTTGAGTGTATATATTGGCGTTCTGCGCTGCAGAATCTATCCAAATGGTTATCGAGAATGGGGAAAAAGTTGTAAAAGGAAGTGATAAGATAGAGCGATCTTGAGATATTGGACACCATTAGCGCGCTTTGGGCGAAAGAAGCCAAGAAAAATGTCTTCAGTTGACCCTCTTCGTGGCTCCAAGAGTGCTGTTCTCTGAGAGTGAAATGTTGGGCATTTTGCTCGTCTCTTTGTCCATTCTGACAGGCTTTTCCTGGGCAGAAAACTGTCCAACAGGTAACAAGTGAAGAATTCACGAAACTCCGAAGACAACCATCAATATTTGACGATGTACTTTTGCAGAGAGAAATGTTGTCGTTTGCTACTACTCCAGCTGGGCGGTGTACAGACGATCGCCAGCCACATTTCGCATAGAGTACATCGATCCCAAGTACTGCACTCATCTTGTGTACACTTTCGCCGGACTGAATCTGGACGGAATCATGGATACGCTGGACTACGCGAATGACATCACGAACGGCGGATACAAGAGCTTCACTGGGCTGAAGGAGAAGTATCCGTGCGTGAAGACACTGCTGGCCATCGGAGGGTGGAATGAGGGATCGGAGAAGTACTCTCTGATGGTGGAGACTGAGGAGTCGCGAGAGTTCTTTGTGAGTCGCGTCATGCGATATCTCGTGCAGTTCAACTTTGACGGGCTTGACATTGACTGGGAATATCCAGGGCATCGTGGCGGCATTCCGGCTGATAAGGAGAACTTCGCTAAGTTGCTCGCGATGCTGAAAGAGCGTCTGAAGCCGCGAAAGCGCCTTCTGACTGCCGCCTTAGCCGCCCCAGTTGGCATCATAGAAGAGGCTTACGATGTTGAGGAAGTGTGCAAACACCTTGACCTCGTCATGATCATGGGATACGACATGAACGAGGCAAACAAGACGAGCACTCACTCACCTCTGAAGCGTGAATCGTCAGAATCATCAAGCAGACCCACCGTTCACGATGCCGTTCAGTTCTACACGCGAAATGGCTGCGATAAGAAGCAACTCGTCCTGGGCATTCCTGCCTACGGAAAATCCTACACGCTGGCAGACAAATCGAAGCATGGCATTGGGGCGAATGTTGAGGGCCCGGGAAAGGCTGGGCCGTACTTGCAGGAAGCAGGATTTCTGGGCTACAATGAAATCTGCGAATCCATGAGCCAAGATCAGTGGACAACAGTTCATCTGAAGAACAATGCCGTCAAATATTCCTACAAGGACGATCAATGGGTCAGTTACGATGACGCAGAAACTGTGACGTCTAAGGTGAGTATTTTATAAAGTCTCTAAGCTATTTTATAACCCAATAAATTTAAAATATTTGCTCTATTTTCTCAGTTATTGGAAATGTTATAATATTATTTTTTTCTTCCCCACTTCATTCATGCAACATAATCGAGTTTAGTGAGAAATTACGCAAGAAAGATAAGAAATAATGAAGTAATTGTTCAGCAAATATGGACTTTTCAGTAAAGTGCATCTCATTACGGAAGCAGAACCACGTGAATGGATTTAAATATGATAATTCGCTGAATTTATTACTAAAAATATCTTCTGTTCAACAAGTTGCGTCGAACGACTTCTGCATGAATGCAGAAAAATGAATTTTTGCTGCATTTCAACTCAATTCAATTGCTAAACTGATTGACAGAATTATCAGGTGGAGTTGATGAAGTAATTTGTGCTTTCTTGCAGACTCAGTACGCAAAGAGTGAAGGATTGGCTGGCGTGATGATCTGGACGATAGACACGGATGACTTCCATGGCGATTGCAACAAGCAAGCCTTCCCACTCTTGATCGCCGCCAACAAAGCTCTTGGGCGCCAATGAATTTGTTCAGCTTGAGATGATATAATTTTCAGAGAAATTATGAAATTCATTAAAATTTATAATCCAACACACTGATGTTGAGGTGAATTTATCAATGAACGATGCGCCAAAATAATTGTCATTGCACATCTTGATAGGAAAAATTCTTGACATTGATCCCAATTTATTATAGAGTTCTAATTATAGTTCCATTTCGCCACAACGTGTAAAGAGCACGTGATTCTTCGGTTTTCCTCATCTCCACAGCATCATCGCCTCAGTGTCTAAATCGTTCTTCTGCCGAGCGCACATTTTCGCGACTGTGAACAGCTTCAGTTGATTTCCATTGGAATTTTCCTCAATGAAATTAGTGTATTGTGACTTCCTTGCTGGATGTTTTGGCGGTTTGTAAGCTTTTCTTTGCATCAGAAAAGTCTAAGATTACTCATAGAATAAGATGTAAAATCAAAAAGTTCAACGATGTAATAATAATATGTGACCGTGTGAAATATTTTTAGAATTTACTTGAAGATTTCTCTGTTGTTACTTTCTTTGTGATGAAAATATTGCTCATAGTGTTTTAAATCAACCTCTCAGTCTGTTAATGGAAAGTTTCGACTTTAAATCTCCAGGAACATGTGGAATGCTCGTGGGTTATCCTCTAGACACGATAAAGTGTTGGCAACAGGCGTCAAATTGTCGTGTTGGAACGGCAATTTACAAAATCATAGTTATGAATAATGGGGTAAGATTTGCAGTGAAATCCAGCCGTTGGACAACTTCTAACCAGAAGAATTCCCACTCAGCTGAAGGGTTTCTATCGGGGAATGACTTTTCCCGTCCTCACGACGGGCCTGCTCAATTCCATGCTCTTCGGCATCTACGGCAACACCCTGAGGAATCTCCAGCACAATGTTCCGGATGAGGACAAGCGAAAGAAGCTTCAGCCGCAGCACATCTTCATTGCAGGCTCAGTCGGTGGATTCCTGCAAGCCTTCGTGGCGAATCCAATTGAGCTGGTGAAGATCAGACTGCAGACGCGATCGTGCACGACTCGAGGATCGTGGGAGTGCCTGAGCAACATCCTGAAGACTGAGGGATTCCTGGGACTGTACAGAGGACTCACGCCAATGATCTGTCGGTAAGATTTGCAGTCTCTGTCGCCGAATGCAGTGAAATCCTATTGAAAGACAGTGATATATTCCCTTACGGAATTTATATGCTAGCTTATGAACAAATCCTCAAGATCCTGGGATGTGTGCCGTACGTCCAAGAGCAGAGGCGGAGGAATGCGGAAATGAAGGACGTGAGTGTCAACAGCAATCTTGAACTCACTCTCACGACGATATCAGGATCAATTGCTGGAGTTTTATCCTGGATCTTTGTCATCCCATTCGACGTGATCAAGACAATCATGCAGGCCGAGCCGAATCCTAACGTCTACAAGAACATGATCCACTGCATCTCCGTGACTGTGGAAGTGAGTTTCCATTGATCAAGTGCAAGATTTTCCCCTCAAAATCATCATTTGCCCCTCATTTTGCAGAAGAGCGGTTGGCGATCTCTTTTCCGCGGCAGTTGCATGCTTCTTGTGAGAGCAGTTCCAGTGAATGTCGCCACGTTTATTGGCTATGAGTATTGTTTGGAGAAGTGTAAGAAAATAGATTCTAATAATAAAGTAGCGTGAAATGGAACGTTTATTCCCGCCATTATTTTCGTTCGCGGTCTGAAAAATTTCCCTCGCAGCAGCGCACTCTGGAAGATTTCTCAAGCATTACGCAGTATTGTTGATTTTGCCAAAATGACTGAACAATTGTTCACCGCTTTGTCGTCTATCAAGGAATTACGCTCGAGTGTGGGCGAAATCTTTGAGTCCCTGGGTGGCGGAGTGAGGGCTGAACATGGGGTGGAAGGAAGAGATGCCAAGTACTTGCTGGAATTGCAGGATTTACTGAATGCCGTGACGATGAATTTGAGGTTAGATTGTCGCCCAGAGATTTCCCAAAACATATTTCTAATCTTCTCTGGCTCTTCCCATTTGCAGGGATGTCGAGGCAGCTATCAATGTGCTCACACCACCAGCTGGACCCTTCAACTTAGGCAACTCTTCCTTCCTCTCCCAGGAAACCACTCAGGATCGCCAGGCTCTGTATTCCCAACTGGTGAACAGCTACAAGTGGATCGACAAGATTCGGGAGCACAGCAACTTGGCAGCTAATCTGCTGAGCCACAACGCTCTGAAGAGATCCTACTCCACCAATTCCACAAAGAGACGGCGTCCCCTCACGTCCAGCCACAATGTGCTGCCGCAGCAAGTGGACCAAGCGCTCACGGCCATCGACAGGAACTTCAACGACATGACCCTCAAAATCTGGAGGCCTTTCGCCACAAATGTGATCCTGCATGTAAGTTTGCCTCCTCGTGCGATCTGCGGATAGAACTCACGCATGCTTGTCCTCTCCAGATAAGTCTCAGCAGAGTCCTGAAGGCCGCCGTCGTGTTCAAAGGCCTCATGATCGAGTGGGTGATCGTGAAGGGATTCGAGGAAGCTCTGGACGACGTGGACGACCTTTGGACGGAGTCCAGGCACAGAGTGTTCCAGCAAGTCCGCGACCACACACACTCAGCAATGCTCCACTTCTACTCTCCGACGCTTCCGGAGCTCGCCGTGCGCAGCTTCATGACGTGGATTCACAGCTACATCACTCTCTTCTCAGACCCGTGCAAGAAATGCGGACTTCACCTGCACAACTGCCTTCCGCCCACCTGGAGGGACTTCCGCACACTTGAGCCTTTTCACGTGGAATGCAAGCATTGAATGTGTGGCAAGATTTACTTTAATAATGGACGGATAAAATGAGAATACAAGGAAATATGAAGAGCGCAGCAACAAGTAAGTCTCTCTTGTTACTCAATCCACCTCTAACTTACGGAAACTACCCTGCAAACCGTGGAAAGTCGATCCGACGGAGTCTTTCTGAGCGCCACACGCTCGATTTATCGCACCCAGAGATCCCTCGAGAGCTTCCGGCGGATACATGTCCAATCTCAGATTCATATTGTCGTTGTGCAGGATGGTTGGCTGCTTGTCCTCCAGCTCCTTCTTGAACAGCTCTGCAATGTGAAGCAAAGGAAATAGTAAAGAAGAAAAGTACATAAATGTTTTTGAAGCCTTTCCACTCACTTATCATCTCTGCCATCGGCATGTTTCCTCCGTATTCAGCCGGGAGGAGACTGCTGTCAATATATCGATTGGCTCTCTCGAGATTTGTGCACAGAATGACGCGCTTCTTGAATTTCTCACTCACGAGAGATATGCCAAAGTCCACGGCGAACTTCAGGCTCGAATTGATGTTGAATGCTATCAGCCTCTTGTGGCGCATTGGGACGGTTCTCTCTGCAAGTGCAAAAAAAAGTCCAATAATTTATTGATTTCGAGTGTGAATCGCGTCCGTTGCGGTTTGAATATCGCGCGATGGGGAGATGACGCAATGATACGGCAAAACTTTGACACAGGCCATGTGTTCGCAGTCGTGGCCGAGTGGTTAAGGCGTCTGACTCGAAATCAGATTCGCTCTGCGAGCGCAGGTTCGAATCCTGCCGGCTGCGCAATTTTTTTTCGCCTTTTTCCCTTCAATTTTTTTGACTCTGAATCAATTTACCTGCATTTTTGGCAATCCTGACAGCTTCCTGGGGTGTGAAGAGCGTCAAGTGTTGCAGACCAATCTTCGCCGCATCGACAACATAGACAAAACCTCGAATTTGATTCTCCTCATCCTCAAGCAGAGTCTCATACGTGAGAGCATGCACTTTGAGCATATCGTAGTTCTTGTGCTTCTGCATATTAAACACTCCCGGTCGGTGCATTATTACTCTGCGTCCCAGATGATCTCGATCTGGCAGAGCAAAAATGTATCTAAAAGCAGAGAAAAATGTGTTTTATCAGCATCACAAGCAAGCAATAAAATTCTCTTTTTACCCCAAATCCAGCAAATCGGCCACGGCTGGCGATTTCATGTCCAGATTCATGAACATTTCGCCATTGCGAATCTTGCGGAGCAGCAAATATCTCTCGATGCACTCTTGCGTGATGGGAACGCTGAACTTCTTGTTCCGCAGGAAGCGCAGGATGAAGTTGGCGTCGAGGCGCGTCGCGAGGATTTTCGGATGCTGTGCCAACCACTGCCTGATCGCCTCAATTGCCGCCTTGCGCACGGCACTGGTTTCGCGGAGTTCGCGCTCAGCGCAATCCTTCAGATCGTCATCCAGCTGGAAGACGTAATCGTCCGCGGCTGTTATTCCCTTCTGCACCTCCTGCAGGCAGAAATATAGGCGACAGATTAGAGATAGGAGCAAGGATAGGAGAGAAGATTTCTTCCATTGCTTCCAAATATGATGATTGATTAATGACAATTGGCAGGAACTGGTTCAATTTATGGATGAACAATTGTTTTTTCTCATCCACTCAAGAACACAAAGACACTCAGAAAAAAAACATTCTTGCACCAAGAAACGAGTGTTCTTGAAATGAGTATGAAAAATGAACATGAAATTAGCATGAATCTTAGACTAAAATCAAGGAATTTTCTTGATAATTTTAAAACTTTGTCGCGAATAAAAATAAGGAATTATCCAATGTTTTGTCTCAAGCGGAAAAATACTGGTTTTAACACTGAAACGGATTTGAATTGATACAGAAATTTAGAGCTTCCCTACGAATTGGGTCAAAAGTCAAGGAATGAAAAGTTTTAATAGTTTTCTGGCCCAAAAAGGCTAGTTTTAAGAATGAAAATGACTTGAATTATTGTGAATAATTTTAAACACCATTTAAAATAAAGATGAACATTGATTAAATTCTAGCCCGATTTTTCTCTCAGTGTGCAGAAGAAATGTGCGAAAAAATTGTAGATTATTTTAGGTTGGTTCTTCTTGTATTAAACATAAGCGGAATTTCGATTCTTTATGCTCAGAAATGCCGAATGGGTTCAAGGTAATTTTTTCCATGATTTTTTGTAATCAAAACGCTTTGTAATCTGTCATAAACCATCTCACAAGTGGTCTCGAAGGCGCCTTAGAAGTTTGAGTAGTGTTTTTGTGTGTGAAATTACCAAATCGCTTCATCGCTAATATCCAAGGAATCTGACAGTAGCAATGCTGTTCAGGAAAAAAAACCTGTTCGTGGCAATTTCTAATGTCTAATTCCTCACAAATCACTCCATCAATGTGAGAATGGGCGGTAAAATCAACGATGCCGACGATATTCATAACCATAAGAATGCAATTTTGCAAGATCGCCAGAGCTGCGATGTCCCAATATCTTGGACATTATTATTAAATTGCAAATAAGCCACCAGTGAGCACAAGTCATCCACTTTAGGTAATCACTCCCTTAGCACAAAGAAGTGCATAAAAGAGTCAAAATTGCATAATGCCATCGAAGGCGCGACATAAATCAATTGCAATATTTCTCGGTTTCTCAGTCCGCAATGGGCAAATTGAGCACGGCTTTTTCTTCTCTCTCCTCCTCTTCAGCTGCCTTTTGAACACACTTTTTAAGATCGACGGGTGCCTCGAAAACTGTGAAAAGTCAAAATCGCCATTTTTCAGACTCGCGTGTTCAAAATTCAGCGTTAAAAAAGCTGCGAAATTTGCCAAATTTACTTCAAAACCCTCAAAACGCCTTCAAATGATCCGTTAAAGTGCAAATATTGCTCTGTATTTATTATTTTGTGAATATTTGAGTTGATTTCATTGGTATTTATTGAATTTTTTTGATTAAAATATGGAGAAATTAAAGGAAAATTTGAAAATATTACTTTCCAAAGTCGATTTTTCATAGTCTTCGAGTCAAATTTATCGAAATTAGTTCCAAAAAATAAACTTTTCATACTTCACTTGAAATTTTCCTTAATGTTTTCAAGTGAATAAAATTTAAAATACATTAGAAATATCCATTCAAAGTCTAAAAAACATTTAAGGATAATTCTGAACATTTATAATTATTTACTGAAAAGGCGTTTTATGTGTTTCACTGCAGTTTTTAGACATTTTTCATGGAAAAATTGTAGAGCGTAAACAATGAATATTCGACTTTGCAATATGATATTTTACTATTGTCTCATAAGATAAAAATTTAAAATTTTCTGTACAGAAAGAGCAAATAAAAAGCTATAAGAGAATTTAGCACAAGATCATGAAGTGTCGCGGGTTCAATTCTCCTTCAAATCGCTTTTTTTCACAACACTTTTTCACTTCTCTTGCCTTTTTCCTCTATTTTCCTTCATTTTATCCCTTTATAGTCGTCATTTTTCCCTCAATTTCTTTTTATATCAAAATTGCTTTTATCTCACTAAGTTTTTACTCCTAAATTCTTTTTAAACGCTTTATTGTTTATGGAATACAGGATATTTACAACATATTCCGCATATTCCTTCGGTTTTTGATGTTAATTTTATCAAGAATTTAATCCATTCCTTGATATTCCTGCTGAAGTGGATTCTTCACTTGAACAACCCTCGTGATAAATCGACTTTTCATAGTTTTCGATTCACCTGTCGAGATGCGAATTGCATAATTTGCTCGTCAGGACGCGCGACATGACATCAGTGTCTGGGACGCGAGTGCAATTTGCGCGCGCTCACATAATCATTGCGATGATTGCGATGCTGAAGAGTTGAGAGCACATACTTTCGATTTCTGGTTGGCCCATTAACACACTGATGGCAAGAGCTCTTTGAGACCCTCTTTCTGAGTTGCACCGCGACGGTGAAAGTGTGTCAACACTTTCGTGGATATATATAAATTCACTTTTTGGAAAGAAAACACTTTTACCTTCATTTCAAACCCACTCCAATTTCACTCGCAAACACTTTTACTTTCGTCCAATTCACCTTCCGCTCTGTCTCGTCACTTTTCTCTCAGGGTTTTTTGGTCTCTTTTCGGGGGCACAAATGTGTCGATCCACACTGCACGACTGTTGCTGCTCAAGTGGCCACAGAGTTGCTCTCCAATGTTTCTTTATGGACAACAAGCATTCTGTGTTTCGGGGATAATCTCACTCTCTCGGCGCACTGCAAAAATGCTGTAATACTCACATAACGCCACAGTTTCTTGTCTCTTTTGCATTCACACATGCCATTTTGTTTTTACTGCAAATTACAGACGATTGAAGACCACTCATTAAAGACGACAAACGCTCGAGCATGAAGTTTTCTTGTATATTTGGCCAAAGTGAATGAATTTAAGTATGGAAGTAGAGAAAAAAGATGTTGGCATACACTGACCTTGTCCTTTATTACGTTTTTAAGTGAAATCAACCTTTGATCCAGACACACACAATATAATTTGTGAATTGCAGAAAATACAAAATTTGCCTTTGTCGACGTCTCAAGTCAATGATTTGCCTATGAAAACCTGAAATGTACCTTACACGTGTTGCCCACGAAGTTCATCTTAAAAACCCGTGTACTTTTTTCGGCAAGTGTAGCAATTAAACCTCTCTTACTATAAAATTGCTTCTAACGATTTTATGTTGAATATCAAGAAATAAAAGACGATTTAAGACGGAACTATAGAAAAGTGACGTCAAAATTTTCATTGATATGCAACCAGTTTAAGACTAATCAAGCTGAAAAATATTTTTTACTATAAATATTTCTCAAGTGCGCAAAATGCAATCTCACCTCAACGTGATAAATTCATAAATAGTTTTGAAAGAAGTAAGACTTATTATGCACGAATGAAGAGTGGCTATTTTGTGGTGTCTGCATTGGTAAATAAACAAGCTTGCAATTCTCCATTGTTGTGTGTTGAAACATGGATTATGTGAATTTAAATTAAAATATTTTTCTACACACCAACTAAAGAAATTTACTGTCTTCTCTATTTTTCCTCCATTTCATTCTATTCTAGGGAAATATATTATAATGTGTTCTTGTTGACAAACTAATTGTTTATTTCGGCAGCCAATGACACTTTAAGGAGACTTTTTGCAATTTTTATGAGAGATTTTTAGTACTTTTCCTCAGAATCATCTGCACACGTTGTGTCATCAGAACAAATGTTTGTGTGGATGAGGAAAAAATTGCAACAACATATGATGAAAGTGACAATCTTGATTAGCACTCAAACGAGTTCGCGCAAGGAATGTTGTTGTTTATGAAGAATATCAAATGCAAATTGACTTTTTTCCTTACCATAAACACTGTGAAAACTTGCGTGAACGATTGCAGAGTAATCTGTCTGGTATAATTAAGCATAAATCTCACTGAATCGTTTTCTGTGTCTTATTTCCTTGTTATAAGAATACAAAATTCAGCGTATAATGTCAATTGAGTCTGGAGAATCTCTTCAAAGTCGTCGAAAAATTGCCACATATTTGCTTCCTTTGTTCCGCGACACCTTCATGCCCTCCTCGCTTGTCTCGTACAGTTTCTCCACCAGTGGATCATCAACCTGGGAAGGAAAGATGAAAGAAACAATCAAAATTGAGCTAAAAACTCTATTCTACCCTATTCAATCTCACCAATTGCTCAAGAGGAATCCTTTGGAAGTTGGGATGATCAGTTATGTGCTTCACCATCCATTGGTGCAGATCTTCCACGTCGGTTATTGTGTAGATCATCCCTCCGCTGCGCAGAAAGTAGCTGTACTCCGTCAACAGCGATGAATTGATGATCCGCCACTTGTGCTTGGCCTTCTTGAAGTGCGGATCCGGATAGAGAAAGAACATCTTCGTCAATTGACCCTTGTGGAAGTAGTTGGGCAAGTACTTCATGGCATTTGTGCGGATACAGGCGATGTTCTGATAAGATCCCTGTTCATTTGCTCGCAGTGCTTTTATCTTGTCCATCACGTAGTCCGACACTTTCACTCTTATCTCCACTCCCAAGGCGAATTTCTCTGGATATGTCCTTCCCAGCTCAACTGACGCAGAGGATGAGAAATAGAATAAGTCTTGTGAACATGATTGTGCTTCACAGATATCAGATACACACTCAGGAAGCCTCCGTAGCCGCATCCAATGTCCAGAAACTCCACTTGTTGATCCCCAATGTTTGGATACAAACTCCGCCACACCATGTCATCAGGATGATATGGACTGCATGGAAAAAAAAGCAGTCAATGGATTTCCCATGCAATTGGCATTGATTTCTGGTCAAGTTTAATTAATTTTCGCATGCAACTGAACTTGTTTTCTATTGCAAAATGACAACATTCCGTGGGAAATGTAAACACATGTTACTCACTAATCGAATGTATGGTCAGAATGGGGATTCGAGTGTGCCCTCTGTCTATAGTAGCGCTTCTGTGGCAGTCTCGCCACCTCTGCCGTGCTTTGCTGCATTATTTCACTGTTTTCTTTGGGTTTTCACCCAGTTTTTACCGAGAAAAAAACACTCTCGCGTGGAGTTTCACGTGCCGGAAATCTTCCGGAATAATCACGTGTGCCGCTTGACAACTCCATTCATAACCTCAGTTTTGAGTGTAAACAAAAACACCTGTGAAGGACTGAGTGTTTTCCTCGGTGTTTTCAGTATTTTCCAAGCGATATGGAGTCACAATCTCTGTACAAGTGAGTCCTGAGAATATCTGGCATCACATTTCGCTGTGGGTTGATTGATTTGACTTGTTTTTCTAGACTTGTTCACCCCGTGAAATACTATCGCGATCACTTGAGCCAAAACGTTCGTCCGGATGGCCGGAAGTTCCTGGAATACCGTCCAATATCTGTGAATGTCGACTCAATTGGCACAGCCGATGGCTCGGCTATAGTGAAGTATGGAGAGACAACTGTGGTGTGCGGAATTAAGGCAGAATTGGCAGTGCCTCGTCCTGCGGAGCCCGATTCCGGCTACCTGGTGCCCAATGTGGAACTCACGCCACTCTGCTCGCCAAAATATCGTCCGGGACCGCCCACGGATGAGGCTCAGGTGTTTAGCAAAAACCTCATGGACATTTTGGTGAACTCCAAGTGTGTCGACTTGAAGGATTTGTGCGTTGAGAGGGAGAAATTGGCGTGGGTTCTGTATTGCGACGTTTCCTGCTTCAACTATGACGGGGCACTGCTGGATGCTGCCACTCTGGCTGTCATGGGGGCGCTTCACACGTGCACCCTGCCGACGGTTGTGTATGACAGAAACTCAAAGACGTACAAAGTTGAGAATGAAAACCGGCGGAAGCTGAATGTGCGATCGCTGCCCATCTCGACGACTTCCATGGTGTTCGACGACGGCACCGTCGTGACCGATCCCACTGCTGAGGAGGAGGAACTGGCCAGCAGTGTCGCCACAGTGACTTCCTGCAACTCCGACATTTGCTTCGTCTACAAATCCGGCGGCAGTTCTGTGACTCCCAAAGATCTGGACCTCTTCATCGCTCAGGCAAAGTGTCAGGAAGCAAAGGTGGCTTCTTTGCTCAGGTCAATCCTTGAAACATCCAAGCAAGAAGACATCGTGAAGTGAATTCGTCACACAGATTTTATTGTCAAACAATTTTCTATCTACAATTTACGAATAAAACACTTTCTTTTCACCCAGAATTTTACAATTTTTAGGCACTTTTTCCTCCTTTTATCTTCGCTCTCTGTGTTAAGTTTTCTATGTTTCAATTGAGTAAAATATTGGTGCACAATCTACTTTGGAAAATGTTACAAGACTGGAAACGATGGGAAAACAACATTTCTCAACATTTGTAGCTTAAGGAGCTCCGCGTCATTAAATTGTGATTTTAAACAATCTCTTATCAGCACTTAAAAATATCAGAGCAGAACGCGCTATTAAAGTTTTGTCATTTTTTCAAGGATTTTCTTCACTAACAACTGCTTAAGTTTTCTGGATTTCATGGATCTTTCTTTTTTGTGTATTTTTTTGATGAAAATCATTAAATCGTCAGCATATATTAAATAACTATTAGATATCAATTATAATTATAATTCTAGATACAATATTTATAGAGAATGTTTAGGACAAAATTTTAAATATTCTTCTTTTCCACTCTTTAACACGGTAAATATTTTCATTTAAGGACAATCACAGTTGATGTATAAAAAAAAAGTTTTCCTTCTCTCTCTCTCTCTCACTACGGAAAAAGAACGTATGAAAATATTGCAGAGATACACGCTAAGATAAATTCGTATTCAAAAATAATACTTGATAGTGTGATAAATGTGAGGGATAAAATGATAAAATGCGCAATAATAATTATGAATAGAGATAAGGAAGTAATTTCGCGGGGTATCGTTAGTCGCAATGACATCTCAGCCCATCAGCCAGTGCCGTGTTTGCCAGACTCGAAGAGTCCCTTCTTGAAGAAGGCGGAAAACTCCACGAGACTCTGCTTGGTAACGCCACATCCGCCGACACCCTCGTAGATTGGACATTGAGGAATCTTCGCGCACACCACGAGGAGTCGTCGCAAGTATGCCTCCAAGTATCGCCTTCGTGATTTGGCCACATTCTCACTCTTCGAGCCGAACAATTCGCGTCGCGGAAAGGGAATATCCTTCACCTTCTCCCCATAGAGATTCTTCATGCTGTTGTGCAGCTCTCGGAAGCGACTGTAGCGTCGCAAGAGTGTCCATCGGCCGTCTGGCAGACACACTTTCACCTCATATTCGTAGTGAGTCTGCTTGCCAGCTCCACGCATGATGAAACTTGGGATACTGACTTGATTCTCGCTCTCCTGCTGCTGCTGATACGCCGTTTCAATCGACGAGAGCGACTGGCCAATTGTATTTGCGCCATACAGTGAATTCTCATACAATCCCATCGGAGCAATATTTGACGAATTTGCACAATCGTCACTGCCATTGAGACTCTCTGGCAAATCATTGTGCTCTTCTGTCTGCTGAATCGATGACTCCAATTCTGTCTTGAGACATTGCTTCTGCTTCTGAAGCTCTTGCAGATGAAATATAAGCTCATCCAGCTCACGCTTGTCACTACAATCCGCCTCCAGAGTTTTCATGATGTGCGCCTTCTGCGAGGCAATTTGTTCTCGCAACTTCTGCAACTGAATTCCCGTGTCTGAACCATTAGAATTCTCACACGAGAGACACGACAATTGATCCTCTTCGCACTGCTTCATGATGATCTCCTTGGGTGACTTGTCATGCGTCTTATTCGTCTCAACACTCACTCCACTGTCACTCATGATCCCATGTCGAGAACATGGCTCGCAAGGATTGGATTCTGGCTCCGGCGTGAAGAGGAGCTGCGACGGAATCGAGCAATTTGACGTGGCTGTGTGATATGTCTCCGATGTGTCCAGTGTCTTCAGCTCCTCCGGAACATTGAGCATATCAGTCTGGGCATCAGCATCTGTAGTCTTCTTCAAGTTAAGTGACATGCTGCAAACATTAAGATAAAAATCATTAGACAAACCATTCAATTTGGCAACAAGACAACAATTTCACCTCTGTTTCTTCAAATTGAGAGCATCAATATCAATATGAGATCTTTCGAGTAAGAGTTCCTGATTCTCAGCATCTAAGTCAGTCAGCTTTCCATCTAATATCTTCATTTTCTTATCACTTTCACATTGAATTTGGTCTTTCTCCATTAAAGCTTTTTCCATTTTGTCAATCTCGTCTTTCTGCAAAGATTTAACATTTCATTAAATTGCAACACTGTTTTTTTTTGCTCTTAAATTGTGTCATCTTGATAAATTTATTCTCCATCTCACACTATATTGTGCAATTTTATCATTTAGAAACTTGTGAAAATTACAATTTTATACAGTTTATTAAAGCAGTGAATTTTCACATATCATTGCTAATATTACCTAAAGCAATCTTACTCTTAATAAATCGATAAATGATATTTTATTGTGTGATCTACAAACACACATTCTCTCTCTATCTCAAGTTGCGCCGCAATTTCTGACAGATTGTATAAGAATTTATACAACAATATTGACCTCTCTTGGACGCTATCATTCCCTGAACTCATCATTTTGTAAGCAAGTTTTTACCATTGAACATTTTTCAAGCGTAAAAAGGAAAGAAATCTTTTGGTGTAAATTCACTATCAGCCATAAGATCTTTTTTTTTCACGGGCTTTAATTGCTATAAATTTACTACAACTTCGATATGCACAAAACTTTCTTTCTCTCTCTTCTCTCATGTTCACTTTCACGATCATCAGAAAAAAGACAAAATGTGCCCCTGACATGCAAAAGTAAAGAATTCATGTTCTCTCCATCACAACAACAACAACAACAGCAAATAAAGTAACATTTGTACAGAAATAGAGATGATAGAAAAAATATACTTCAACTCACGTTTCTTTTCACAGTTTCTTTGAGGAATTGCGCCGCAGAATTGTCTAAATTCCGTGTTGCATTCAAAAGTAGATTGCTAGCGTCCTCCGGCAGAGGATTGTCCTCTAAAATCTTAATGTCATGCTGCAAAGAGAGAGAGAGAAAGAAACACGATGAGTCTCTACTGCCCTCAAAGAAAAGAAACACACAATCATAAATTTTTTGTACAAAAAGCAAAGTATAATTGTGAATGTGTCAGTGGGTAAAAATAAAAATAATAAATACCTCATCTAATTTACCACAATCAGACAGCTCTTGCAATTCTCTGGCTACATATTCGAAAAAGTCTCGCTTTTTCAAATCGAGCTGCGCCTGCAATGCGCACTTTTGCCTAATCATAATTTCCATCTATATTTTCAACAAAGAAAAACCACAAGGAATAAAAATAAAAACATAAATTAGCATAAAGAGAAATGAATAAAGCACTTTAGGGGATAAAGAAGCAGTTAACATGTTTGTATAAAATGGGTGTTAATGACTCACCTGAACCTCTTCATTGCTCTTCTCCCACAAAAGCATCTCTCGACGAGCATTTAACTCTTGTTCTCTGCATAGGAAGATTGCCTCTTGGCTCTTCTTCTGCTGCACCAACTCATTCAGTTCTCGCGACAACTTGGCCACCTTCATCCGATGCTGATGATGCATTTGACTCCGCTCAGCATTCAATTGCTTCAGAGCACTCCCTATTGTCTCCAGTATCTTGCGATTCTCCTCCTGCACCTCCACATCCTCTCGACACACCATCTCTTGCGGACAATACACCTTCTCACGCCTAAACGGTGACTCATCGTCACTCATGAAGCTGGTGTTGAGATTCTCCCTGGACGCCGCTATGAGGGAGAGACGTGAAAGATCCAGGCGTGATCTGTTCAAGTCCATTCGCAGCTTCGCCGCCTCTGCGGGATTATTGTACCGAAACATATTCGTGCGGCCCAAGAGGAGAATGTCTCCCTGTGAAATTCTCGTGGGCTCTTCAATGAGATTAGCATTGAGCCAACACTGTGCCGGCAACTTTGGCCATATTGTCGCAATGCCATCAGAGAGAATTATGCGACAATGTTCAGGTTGAATTCCCACACCGGACAGCACAATATCCTGCGGATTGTCATTCTCATCTGTGCCAATGCTCGTTTCGCCCTCTTTCAAACTATACAGCGTCACACCTGTACTGATGTCATCATGAATGCCAATCAAATGCGGCATCTCTGAGTCCAGAATCACACCATAGCCAGACTTTCGCAATCCCAGAGACTTTTGCTCCCGCAAAATTGTCTGAGCTTCTCGCCACTTCTCTGTCCACTCCTCCGTGAGGACTTTCTCCTGCGCCTCCTTCTTCTGCAGATCCTCCAGCACCTTCGACGTCAACTCCTCCACATTGTCCACCGTCAGCATGGCTCTCAACTTCATAATCTCCTCTCGCAACTCCCTGATCAGCTTCACATTGGGATCAATGTTGACAGTGGGCTTGTTAATGATGTTCTTAGCCCTGTTGGCGTACCTGAGAGTGCTCAGTGTCTCGCCATAATTGCAATCGGCGGGTGAAATAGCGGCAATCATTATGGTCTTACTATTCCCACCCAGAGAGTCCTTCAGGAGCCACGTGAGGACTGAATCTCGATAGGGAATGTAGAGGATGCGCTTGTTGTTCGTGGGATTAGTTTGCTCCGCCAGTGCGGATATCACACTGCCCAGCGTGACCAGGGATTTGTTAATGTGCGCCCCCTCTTTCAGTCTCTGTCCAGTGGCACCCGTAGCATTCGCTCGCTCACTGCCCGCCAGATCCACCAAGTGTATCTTCGACACCGTTTCGCTGGGCATGTCATCAGTGAAGCCCGCTTGAACGAAGGTGATGGTGAAGATCGCATGACTTCTGCTGCTCGTGTCATTCATATTGGTGCTGGCTGTCGTGCGGAGGATGTTGCCTTTGGTTATGCACTCCTTAATCTCCTCATAATCACTCACGGGATGCTGCGAGAGATTCTCCACATACGGCCCGGTGGTCTTGTGCTCACGCACACGCAAACCATGAGTGGATGAGTTCGATCCCAGCAGATCCTTCACTCGCTCATTGTAAATCTCAAGATAACTCACGTGTGTCTTGTAGCCCGTGCCCGCCTCCTGGCCCACCTTCATTCTGGCAAACAGGGACTTGCAGATCCTCGGGATGAGGCCCAGATTGTCTGCATTTCCCATCATTGTGAAGGTCTTGCCACTTCCCGTCTGGCCGTACGCAAAAACACACGCATTGTAGCCTGCAAGAAATCATGAAAAGCATTTCAGCAATCTCTGTTGGGTAACAATTCTCTGTTGAGTTAATGTACCTTGAAATGCGCAGTTAATTACATCAGTGCCCAAATCTTCGTACACCTCTTCTTGTGAGACGTAGTGGTCATCGTGGTGGTCAAAGGACCAGTACGAGTAGTCGAACGTGAACTCGTTGAAGTTGTCCTTTGACAGGGCATCCCTGCACAGCGCCGCCCCATTGGATCCGGGCATCCGCGGCTTCGCCAGCCGCGTCTTTTTCCCGTCCATATGGACAATCGAGCTGGCCCCCATGTCGAGCTCCCTGCAAGAGACATGCACAAGCGGTAAATCACGAGTGAGAGGGCCTCCTCCGCTCGACAACAAGACACTCGAGATCACAGTGCGTGAAGCGAGATTATTCTTGGATATCTACAATGGAAATTTCTTCCTCTCTCGAGAGGGGGAGGAAGTTCAGTGATACGAAAAATGACGTCATAGTAGCGTAACTGTACCCTCACAGATTCTCACCTTTGATTGAAGGGACGCACGCGGACGGCCACAATTACCTTCAGAGAACTCATCTTTGCACTTTCACACACAATTTTCCGCCTATGTTATGAAAATTCGACGCATTTTGCCACTTTTTCCAACCACTTGGCAAACAAAAGCAGCCTCCAATTATTATTTTGACACAATGACTACTGCAGTGCCCCTTGCGGCGCTTCTGCGAAGTGCGCTTTCAGAATCTTTGGAGTATTGCGTTGAAATATTTCGCATCGCGGCGTCACATTCCGCCTCGCAGCCTCTCCAACGTTGAATCTCTGAAGATGATCTTGGGCTTACATCCATGATTGAAGTCTCGAATTTAATTGCCAATAAAATGCCAAATTACAGTGTCTACTTCTTGATCTACTTCTTCCTGCCGCCGCGCTCCTTCAGAGCCAAGTGAACCGTCGCCCCGCTCAGCAGATTGTAGTACGCCACCGAATTGGAGTCCTTGAAGAACATCCCCTCGTACGAGATCTTCTGCTTGGCCGCCGGCATTCCAGTCTCATCCAGCAATTTGCTCTTGAGCGCCGTGATAGTGTCTGTGAGCGACAGCGTGACCGACACCGTTTGTCCGTTGAGCCGCCACTCGGGCTTCTCCGACATGTTTGGCACCTGCACTTGGATAGTGACGGGGCCCTTGTGCCGAGCCAGGAACTGCGCCTCGGGCACGAGGTGATCCTCCGTGCGGGACTTCTTGCTCGGCGGCTCATCATCCGGTGGCTGCTGCATTGGCGGCGGCTGTTGTGGCGCCTCCATGAGTGGCGGACCGGGCATTGGAGCATTCTGCGGTGGCCCCATCTGAGGCAAGAAGCCCACTTGGAAGGGAGACGCTGGAAGGCGAACAATAAGATCAGATACAGTGAATTGAGAGACGAACAGAACACTTACGCATCATTGGCGGCGGACGCATTGGCATCATCATGACAGGAACGGGATTGGGATGGGGATGTTGCAGCGGCGGCGCCTGGTGAGACATCACCGGTGGCTTCGGTGGCACCACAATTGTCGGCTGCGACGCCGAGGACTGAGATGACATGCCGTGCTGCCCTTTGGAACCCATGTTGCCAGACGAAGTCACAGGCTTCGGCCCGATTTTCTCCTTCTCCTCATCCGGCAGCAGTCCCTTGACTTTGTGGATCTGATGAATCTGATCCTCCAGGGTGATATTAGCTCGAGCCGCCCTCGTGGCTGCCTCAACGCTGGACGTGTGGCCATCCCAGGTCACACGGTCGTCCTTCTTGGTCTCCTCCTCGCCCAATTTCTTACCAATCATCGTCTCCTCATCGCCAATACCGAAAATATCCGTACGACGCTCAGCCAACTGCTTCAGACTCGCCTCTATGGCTGTTCCCGCTGCGTACACATTGTCCTGTGTCAGCTTCTCCACCGTGTGCTTGTCTCTCTGCTCAACCCAGCGCGGATCCAGCAATCCAATGCGCATGTGCTCAGCCACCTTCGAAGCCGGAATCTTCTCGCCCGTAATTGGCGATATTAGGAAGTCATCCGACACAGGATTGGGCTTCGCCACGCTGTGCACTTGCTTGGGATCGTACTTCTTCACCACCACCTTGTCATGCGTGGGCGGCAGAGGAGCAGCCACTGACGGCTGCGCCTTGGATCCTCCGCGCTCATCCTCATCACTAGACGCCTCATCCATGTCCTGCACTTGATTGTTGTCCTTCGACGAGGTGTACTTGATGCTCGTGCGATCCTCCATTGTGGACAGCTTCACGCCTGACGACGGGGCACTGGACTCATCGTCCGATTCGATCTGCATCTCTATGTCGTTGTCCTCGTGAATTCTCTCCTCCATCAGCACACGCGCTCCCACTTCGTCAGGCGTCGTTGGCGGCGGGAAGTTGCCCGTCTCGTAGGGTTGATAGTCGACAATCTCCACCACCACGAAATCATGCCAATCGATCTGGGCATAAGCCACCCTCTCGCGCTCCACCTTCTCCTCCTCGCGCCTGCGCTGCGCCTCCTGATACTTAATCCAGTTCGCCCGATACTTGGCGCTCTCCAGCACCACACTCATGCTGCTCTTTCCCGGCGCTGCCTCGTTCTTCAGCTTGTTCATCAGATCCTTCGGCGGAATCAGGATCTTCGTGTACTGCTCCAGGAGCTTCGTGAAGTACTGGAAGAGTGAATGCTGCGGCCGGAGAAAGTCGAATTGGTAGTTCCTCTGCTCGCGATTCATGAGATTCGTGAGGAATTGCCGCCCATTTCGGGCCACAAACTGCGCTGTCAGCTTCACGATGTCCAGATCCAGGGCCGAGATGGACGGCGGATCAGCGATGAACTCAAACTCCGACGGCGGATCTTTGGGCACAAACTGCTGCTCAGCCACTTGCTTCAGCAGCTCCTGCTGCTTCTGGTGCGCCGATGAGCTCACAGAGAGCTTCTGAATCCCCGCCGGCAGATGGGCGGCGGCATCGCTGGTCTTCCCATCCCTGAACTCCACCACCTTGTGCTGATAGTAGGCGTGATAGGGATCGCCTGCATTCAGGAAATTGAACTTGGGATTTCCGATCTCATTCTGCCGGATGCGAGCCTCGAACTCAGGTCCATTTCTCGCCACGAAGCTGGCAGTCTTATCAACGATATCTTTGTCATGTCATTAAGGAAATCACTGTGCTAAAGAAATTGCTGAAAGTGAAAACGTTTGGAAATGTTTTTGTTGGCAAAAAGGATACTTCTAACCTCTGGCGGAGGATAGATTATTCCGATTATCGGTCCTGAGAGCGTTCTGTTCTCATCTCTTGGTGCATCACCAGTGCCAGGGGCACTTTCCGCTTCTATTGATGGCATTTTCCACGAGATATTTGCACGGAAAAAGGGAAAGAAGCACAATTTCTGAAGAACAGCACGAAAAACGCGATTTGATGTCGATTCGCGGTGACGTTAAGTAAATAACCCGGCTGGACGAGCTCTCCGGAATTTCTGCCCAAAAAGCAAATACGTCAGTGAGAAAGAAAACCATTCGTAATAAAGGCATTTATTATGTATTTTATTTAACTGTGTGGGAAAAATAAAAACGTGAAGAAAAATCTCATATGCTTTCATTGAGCGTAAGTTTGATTTTGAAAAATGGTAAAAAACATTCACCGCACAGCCGGGTCGGTTTGTATATAGACACTCCGATTATTTCGGAAAATGTCAACAAATTACAATTTTGGCGATTTGATGAGGAAATTGGCCACTTCCTGGTTGAATTCCTGGGCATAACGAAGGTGGATGTTATGTTTGCCGTCTGGGAAGCTGCGTAGACGAGCCCCTTTGATCTTGTCCATCAAAAACGGCACATGTTCAGGCACAATCATTGGATCTTTTTCGCCGTGGAGGATCAGCGTTGGACAGTGAATGTCTTTCAAGAGTTCCTTGCAGAGGTTTCCGTCCTTTTCCTTGTATATCGTGAGAAGGGTATCAATCCATTCGCTCCAGAGTTTGGGAAATTCCTGTTTGCCGTACACTTCTTCCATTGGCTTTCTCATCCTTTCTGACCATTTGCTGACATCACGAATGCCTGCAAATGAGGATTTTCTTGCTGAATTCACCCATTAAATGTTTAAAATCTACTCACTTTCATAGATTTGGACCTCCTTTGGGTCCACGTATGCATTTGAGCCCCATATCACGAGATTTTCCACAGCTCCCGGGTGTTTTGCAGCCTGGATGAGGCCGGTAATTCCTCCGTCGCTCCATCCAAGGATCGAGTAGGTGGGAAAGGCCAATTTCTCCATCAGTTTGTGGGCATATTTTGCGTCATTGTGGAAGAAATCCACCGTGAACAGTCTTCTCGGTGGAACTGACTTCCCATAGCCTGGAGGATCCCATCCGATGATTGTGTAATTGGGCAGAAGACTGGGAAGTTGGTCGATTTGCGGACCGAAATCTGTCCGGGCAGATCCCAAAGCACCGGGCATCAAAAGAACAGCCTTATCACCACTTCCGACTCTCACATAGTTTATATTCACATCCTCCACTCGTATCTTGGCCTCTGTGAAAGCCATCCCTCTGCGGAAGGAGAGGAAAATTGTGCTTTTCAGTGATTTGAAGATTCCTGCAGTTATCATTCTTCCGGACTGTCAAAAATACTGCAATCTTTCGCCAGGGTTTTCGTCATATTCTCTTCGCTATATCTTGAGTCCACCTGGAAGATCTTCAAGAAAGCACATAGTATTTTCATAACCCGGCTTTTCCTGTTCTTCCCTAGGGAAATCATGTATTTCCGAGAAGAATTTCCATTGCTGTGGAGAATTAATAGTTCAAATTGAGGAAAAACGCGCCAAGCGTCGAATAAATAGACCGTTGAGCGTTCAGCCAATCAGCGTCGATCTTCTTTGAGCGGAAGCTTTATGTACACGCGAGTATTGTAGTTCGCCACAGTTGCCTTCGCTTGGCTTCGTCATTCTGGATAAAGTGGCTCGAGTGTTTAGACGTGTTGCGTGTACGCTCCGCGTTTGAGTGAAAAAAGGTGTATTTTAGCAAGTGATCAGTGCGATAAAACAACTTTTATTGATTGACCAAAGGTATGTGGCGCACTTTGGTGAAATTTCCATTTCGCTAGATATATTATTTAGTGAGAAATTGAGGAAAATAGGAGTGGAATTTCTGGGACGCCATTGTTGAAATTTCGAAACGGTACATTTATGGGGCGTCTCTGCTCTTCTCGAAAAAGTGGAATAATTTTTCTGCGACTTTGCCATAATCGAAAAATGGCGCGATTGAATAATATTTCCCAAATATTATTGTTTACGCGATGCCATGGAGCATTTTGCGGGGGCTTTTTTTTTGGGGGCGCTTAAGCATTTTCCCACCTCGCTGTTCACAAAGCGAGGCATTGAAGAATTGAACGCCATTCGCGCGAAAGATGGCTTGGCTTGGTTGACGCCTGCGTCACTATATTGATTTTCAGTTTGAGGCTGGTTTTGTGGGCTTTTTTTCTCTCGATTTAGCACGCACACAGTCAAGGGGAAGTGGCTTCATTGGTGTGTGGGCACAACGCATCGAAAGGGGAATAAAATGTGTATTTTTCATCTTTTACGTGTAATAATTGTAAAATTGCCTCGTTGTGTAGTTTTTCCCGCTAAATGGAGATTATGTAATTTTTTTTCTCTCCCTAACAGTGAAGCGTTGATTCGCCTACAAGATGGCGGACGAAGAACTATTCTCTCTGTGTTGGAACAATTTCAACACAAATCTCTCGGCGGGCTTTCATGAGTCGCTCGTGAATGGAGATCTCGTCGACGTGACGCTAGCGGCTGAGGGCCAACTCGTTAAAGCGCATCGACTTGTGCTGTCTGTGTGCTCACCCTACTTTCGCAAGATGTTCACCAACATGCCCGCCAATCAGCACGCATTTGGTGAGTTCTGAGAATGATATATATGAGAAAAATTGTGTGGTGTGAAAGGGAAATTTTCACGGGTGTTTATTTTTTTCCTCCCTTTGCATTGCAGTATTCCTCAAAGACGTCACCCATTCCGCGCTGAAGGAACTCATTCAGTTCATGTACTGCGGAGAGGTGAATGTGAAGCAGGAGGCGTTGCCAGCATTTATTAGTACAGCAGAAGCGCTGCAGATTAAAGGACTCACTGATTCTGTAAGTTTTTGGCATCTTGTGTCTCTGAGAAATGTGAACTGACGGTTTTGCATTTTCTTGTATGGTTTGCAGGGTGACACAGCCCCACCGCCGAGTTCGCCCACCAAAGTCGCCACACCATCACATTCATCCGCATCATCACCTTCACGGGTCCGCACACAGCAGCGCACCGTGACACGAACAACGTACAAAATGGAGTCTGAAGACAGTGCCGATGAGAGGCAGATGATTCAGGTGCACACACAAAAGCGCTCAGCTCCGCGCCAAACCATCGCCCTGCAGTCAATACCGTCGAGCAAGAGGTCGAAGATTGAGACCATTGAGACTGTTGAACAAGCGGCAGACACATCGGCAACGACACGCATCTCGGAGAAGTCAGACGCGGAGTTCATTGATTTGCCAATCACTGAAACGCTGTCGGCCAAAGCGGAACCCGTTGAAGAATATGCTGAGGACACGGCTGAGGATATTGAGCAGGAAGGCGAGGCGACCTATGTGGAGGAGGACACGTACGGCGACATGAAATATGACGAATCCTACTTCACGGAGAACGACGAGTCAAACGCCAAGGCAAATGTATCTGGATTTGGAGAATCGTACGCCGAAGGGGATCAATCTGTTGCTGAAGCCCAAGGTTAGTGTCAATATTCAGTGCGACAAGAGAGAAACGAAGTGGCTGTAGGCACTTTTGCTTGGATCCTTTTCAATTTTCACATCTCTGAGGTCTGTGGCAGAGTCTTTGTTCCATTGCATTTGCGCTAGTGATACAAATATTACACTATTTTTGGTAAATATTTTAACAATACAAGTCGCGGGATCATTGATGTTACATGCTAACGTGCGCGATAGCAAGATTATTTTCATTCCAAACACACACACACATTTTATAAACTTTGAATGTCACTTTGATTATGCAGGTAGGTGATAACAAATGTTAACATGCTGTATTAATTGGTGGTCAAAGAAAATCATTTCATGCATTTATTTTAACAACTTACAAAATATGAATTTACACTTGGAAAGATAATTTTATACACCAATCAATACAGTAGTTTATTTATTGAACAGTGGAACAAAGATTTTGAATTTGAAAGAAGAAATTAAACTCTGCACAGTGCCAGCCTACGAAATTAGTTTCTCAATATGTATATAATAAGAAAATTATTCCATAAAACATGCTAGTAATTAAGATATAAATGATTCGATACGCAAATTTAGCTCAAAATATGAGAAATATTGAAAATTCGAACAATTAATTTAGATATTGAATGATTATTTAAAGACTAGTATCAAATTTTATGGATTTTCCAAATTTATTTTTCTCAAAATTTCTTGCCAAATATCTTAGTTTGCTTTATATTTGTGTTTTTGGTGCACTATTTACAATGAAATTCAATTTTATTTAATTAGTCAATTCAATTTTGAGTCTGAAAGAGAAATTTTAGTTATACCTTGAATGAAATAATACTTGATGCAAAACGAATTCTCATAATCGCAACAAACAAACATTACGCTCGATACGTTTTTTTGGTTATTCGTATTTTAATTTTACACCAAATTAGTCAAGAAAAAAAGTGATAAAAGTGAAGAGTGTGTTTCAAATACAATTTAGTGGTGATTTTATTATAAGAAATCAAATGTGTGAAACCTGAGAAATCAACAAAACAGAGACGCTTGAAGCAGTAAGTAAAACAAATTTTAAATAGTATATACAAAAAAGTTAAACAATATGTTTTTTCAACAGAAATTTCTCGTGTTGTTGTACAATAAGTCTGAGGACAGAAGAACTATTGATCGATCTGTGAATGTCTTCAATCCACACTTTCTTCTGATAAGAAATCCAGCTGGCAGAGAAGATTGACAACTTGAACTCAAATAATGAATCCAATTGGAACGGATTGTTGGTAAATGGACATGCACGGTGGGTATGATGAGTATCACTATATTTTGCTACAGTTTATTTTACATTGGATAAAAATTTTCACGATGCGGTAAAATGTGTATCCGGTAGTGTTTGAAAGTGGTGCTTCGTTGTGTGGATTAACGGTAAAATATGGTGGTGAGATTTACTATGCCGTTCGGTGTTGGGTGATGGTAGGTGTCTTTGCTATGGCGGTGATTGGGACGCGAGGAACCGGTAATAAGTTCCACATGCGAGAGTGCTGTGGATAAGAGCTTTCGTCAAGTTCAGGTATGAACCAATGAGTGTGCAGACGGTTGGCGGAGAGGTTCGTGTTGAACTTCTTGTGCACAGAGAGAGAAAAATACTTCCAATGTAATATTCTTCTAGATATTTTTCTAAATAAAAGGAACAAAATCTAGTCTCATCTCTATTGAATTGTAATTAATGATGTAACTAAGAGTATAACTAATAAGCCTTTAATTGCTTTGCGACTTTTTGAGAGTGTGATTTATACTGAGATGGGAAACATATATTTACTTTTTCTTAGGCAAAGTACAGTTCATACGGAGCCAAAAGAAAAATGCCCAACTTGTCTTCGATGGTTACATTTACAACAAGAAACTCACACAAGCCAATGGCTTTACCACGTGGCGATGCACAGATGTCTCAAAAACGCGATGTCGGGCCATTTGTATAACAAAGGGCAGCCAGCTGGTAACATCCCGCCGGAGTCACTGCCATGAGCCCCACTGGAATCGCATATCGAACCGCCCTTTGTATAGCTTTGAAGATGACATGGGTGATTTTATTGAGATCTCTGCGGAGACAGAGGAGAAGATAGATGAGATGATCAGTAGTATTAGTAGTAAGGAGAGCATTCGGCTGGAACTGATGTCGGACACGTAGAGAGGAAGACAGTGAATCACGTGAGGAATGTACGAGAGAGGATGAAGCCAATAAACTGACATGAAGAATGTGTAATCTTTTTGTTATTTTACATGCACATAGTTTTATGTTTTGTTTTACAACTAGATTCTGAGGAAGTTAAACATAAGATATCTTTTCTCCCTTGACTGTGCAGTGAATTTTGGCGAACATCAGTTGTTCATCATAAGTCGAAAAGGGGGAATCCACCTGGTGCATGATAACTATGTCTATCGGTCCAATCTGCGGCGACAAGGACGAAACAAAGATGTGATTTACTGGGAATGCATTCACAATCGTAACAGTAAATGTAGAGGGAGAATGAAGAGTGTGGGCGATTATCTCTATTTCACAAACAAACACGGTTAGTTGCTCAACCAATATTGATCACAAAGGCATATGTTGCAGGAGCTGATGACTATATGCAATCCTTTACTTTCTTTCAGTGAAGCATAATCATGAGCCTGATCTTCTGCGAGTGACCCAGGCTATTAAGGCTAAGCTCACAATCATGAAGTATATCAGTGAATTGGGAATATAATAATCAAAATTGATCATCTCTCAGTGCTCTAAATTCAATTATATCGAAACGTATAATTGACATTCTAAACATTTATCGCTATAATGAAGTATATGCATAGATATATATGATGATGATGACTTTGTAATGAAGGAGAGAGAGAGACACGGAGGAAATTGTATATAAATTGAATTCTATATAATAATGAAGTAAAATGAAATTTTACATGAATATTTTTTGAATTACTCTAATGACCGATAAACTGCAGACATTCCCATACTCATGATACTTTCGTATGGATTGCTTTTAGATCGTAAGGACTACTTCAAAATGTCCCAATTACCAGAGGTCCAAGTAGTTCACAATGAAAAGGGACGCGTGCGTCTCAAAATCGATGGATACTTGTTCACGTTGAATCAGTCCAGCCACAACAAAACCGTCTGCTACTGGGAATGCATTCGACGTAGAGCAAAGATCAGGGATATGCAGTGTCGTGTGCGGGTTGTCACGGTGGATGGACGACTCAAGTCACTCGTGGGTTTGCACAATCACGAGAGGGACTCAATTGTGGACAACTATGTTGAGCAGAAGTTTTACAAGTTCTTTCCCAATGCAACACTGTAATGAGTTGTGCAGAGAATTCAATCAATGAGTTTACACCTGTTTTCCATAACATGACAGTGTAGATTAGCAATAAATGATGTTTCAAGATGCAGATGAAGAACTAAAAGATGATACTTTTGCTTTTCCCATCTCACAACACACCACCATGACGTTGGAATACTTGTGAAACCGCGCGCAGGAGTGAAGAGGGCTGAAGAAGTGATAGTGTTCAGTATGGAGGCGGAGGAAGAGAATTCGTCGATCCACTTCAGGCAGACATCAATGGGTCGCCCGTGTTTGGAGCTCAATGGTTTCACATTTCTGTACAATAAGAGTGTTGAGAAGACGGGGACAATCTACTGGCGGTGCTCGAACTCGAGTGCCAGGAAGAAGGTGCCCTGCGAAGTGAGATGCATCACACGCCATGGAATTCTGCAGAAACGCTGCGGTTACCACAATCATCCTCCGCCAGCAAAGACTTTATAAGATAGTGAGAGAGATGAATGTCTGTAAGATTAAAATACATGTTGTAGGTATTTACACACCGATCTTGGTCTTTTCTGCCTTCCCACCTGCCAGGAATACTTTGCCTCGACCAAGTGCTGGAATACTGTTAATACTAACACAGATTTCTTGTATTTGTGTTTTCAGTTGGCCCACTAAACTTCATCAAAACTCCTTGGTCAACATCGTGTTTAGTAATTGATGATTATATTTACAATTGTCACAGTAATACGCACAAGGGCAAGTCCTACTGGAGGTGTCACAATTATTCAAAGAGAGTTATCGAAGAGAGGTGTCGAGCGAGGTGTGTGATTAAAGATGGAAAAGTTCAAGCCCTCACCGGAGGACCGCACAATCACTTGCCGCACACGGAGAAGATTCAGAAGATAAAGAAGCGAGAATCACTGATGGAGAAGTGCGATTCGCTGTTTTAGATAAGACAATAACAAAAATAGTGTTAAAGTCTGTCGTTTTGGGAGCAAGAATATCTCTCTCTTTTTATTCTGATAGATCAAATAAATTTGAAAATTGAATACTTTTAGCCTGCATCGCAAATGAAGTGTTATTTTTCTCACACTTATCCAAAAGATACTTCTTTTTAGAGACTTGTTGGGTTGATGGTGATGTTTGTGTGTTCTCTGCTTTCAGTTTTGGATGATGAAGACAGGGTGCTTTTTATGTTCATTCGCAGTCAGAGAAATGCTGCTCTCCTATCGCGTCACAACTACGTCTATCGATGCGAGAGATTTCACAATCACAAGAGCTATTGGCTCTGCTTGCACTATAAGACAGATCACTGCAATGCAAGAATGATATGCGATGGCAATCGTATTGTTAAGGAGACACGCCACAATCACGTGCCGGACCTCAAGCGACTGAAGAAGGCTGTTGTGGAGTACAAATCCCTCACGGATCCCGATATCAAGAAATTTATTGTAACCAAGAGTTGAGAGAAGATGAGGCGGTTTTTGATTAATGATAAAATACATGATATAGAGTTGGTATGAAGTCACATTTTTCAATCTAGAGATGAGATTCACCATAGACTAACTCCTTCTCTTTTGTGTATTGATTGAGGGTACTGTCTCTCTCTAGAAATCATCGAGGTATCAGCGAGTTCTGGTGAAAAAGAACCACTGCAATTCACACGGAGTCAGCGCGGAAGGCCCATTCTGTGCAT